ATCTGAACCCTCTTGTTTCCAACCGTGCTTTCTCTTCTATTCCTGATAACCCTCCGAGGCCTCTGAAAAGAAGATGGTCTCGGGACCTTCTAATATAGAAATATAATTGGAGTGCTACCAATGGGTAGTTTCTCTTCATGTTGTACGTTTCAAGTTACTTATTTCATATTTACTAGTTGTATTTATCATTATACACTTGTAAATTTCAATAATAAAAAAAAATAATAAAGAAGTTATTAGTAGTTGATCCCTGCGAAAAATTCGCAGAAAATTTTGTTTAGTGAAGAAATAGCAAAGCAATATAGAAAGAAGTAGATCATATGTATTATGTAAAGAAGGAATTAATATTTTTTCCTTGGTCGATTACAATATTCCATTTAACATAATAGACCAAAATATTTCTACAAATTGCTTCGCTAGGACCTATTTTTAAACGCTGACTGCAAAGATAATAAAATTAATCAATAAAAATAAGACAAAATAATTCCCCGATCATGGGATTTTCTTAATCATTAAAAAAATAAAATTTAAGAACAAACAAATGCCTTCAAGAAATAATTAAGTCAATATATCAGCCAGGAAAAAAGTATAGTAGACTATTCTACTCCTAAATGCAATATATTTAAAGAGGAAAACATTATTAAGTATACCAAAATCTTTGTTAATCATTGTCCGATTTTTACAATTTTTTTTTTTTTTTTTTGTTTTGTAGGAAATTTAGTATTTTTTCTAATTATCATGGGTACAATTAAGAAAAGAATGCATACTTTTTGAGTTATTCACAAATAAAGTTTCTTTTCCTTTAGAACTTCGTTTTCGAGAATTTCGGAAGGATACGAATATTTTTCGCATATGAAAGAGAAGAATATCTTCATAATGAGTGGTCATTGGATTTTATGAACAATTGACAAAGTTATGGCGTACCGACAAAAAAACACATTTTTAGAAATAATATATAGGATTGTTGTTTTTATTTTTGTTTTACAAAACTAGACTAGTTAATCTATAGAATAGTTAATATATTTAAAAAATATATAACACCATAATTAGTGAAATCAATAAAATTTCTTTAGTGTAATAAATATACATCATCATTCGAATTAGCACGAGGAAATACATAGAGTAAGTACATCAAAATTAATACTGTCGAAAATCTCAGCAAAAACTATATCCTGAGTTTCAAACTTGTCTTTTATTTTCTTTAATACGATAAAATCAATGATACTTCTCAAGTTAAATGGATGTAAACCCAACATGTATCGTTTTATCTAACATTGAGATTCGAATAGATAATAAAAACTGCCACGGAAATTAATGTATCATTAGCATATTGATTATAATATTTTAAAAGTTAACTCCAAAGGTTCCCAATAATCTTATTGTCTCAGCTCAAGGTAAAAAAAAAATCTTTGAGTTATATTCGGGCTTAATATCCGTTGGTTTCAGTTTATCCTGTTTCTTTCTCCGATCTATTAGTGAGTATCGCTTCTTAAAATTATCCCTAGCCTCATTAAGTATTTCATTATTGCATTTTCGTTCTTTTAAAAAAAAATTATTGATGTACTTAACTTTACTGAAATAGAATGGTTTGGATCAGGGGTTGAAAGTTATATAGAATTTGTTCAAAAAGTCCATTTTAATAGTTTCTGTCAAACTTGTTATGAAAATACATCCAGTTTACTGGTTTAAGTGAAACTTTATGGCAAACAATTTTTATAATAAAAATTCTAAGGAACTTTTTTGTAATTAATTTCCTGGCTTGAAGTAAAAGTTAAACTTGTATTTGTACCAATTCTTATTAAAAAAATACATTAAATGAAAAAAAAAACTGTAATAGGGCATAGATTAGAGTTAAAATTTCTCTTGAATAAACTATACATAATTCTAATGTGAAATTATCCTCACAGACGAATTTTCTATAGTAATATAAAAAAAAAAGTTACTATCATGACCAGCACTTGTGATTTCTTCGAGGGGGCGCGTCCCTCGAATTTAGATGTTAGAAAAATAATTCCGAAAAAAAAGATCCAGAAAAACATCTATTTAAAGAAAAGAGTGATGTAGTTTTTGGGCCCCCGTGAGATGCGAAGGCTTTTTAGGAAAATTTATTAAAAACAAAAAAACTTCATTTATTCTTTCGAACCGCCTTTTTTTCGATGACAAGAAAATACGGATTTACTCAGACCTAGTTTTTACTCAGTTGCAATAGATCTGAACGCATTGCAACCTTCAGCAACTATAATCTCCTTGAAGAATCCATGCGAATCATAAAATTGATCGCGATAATAATTTGTATATTTCTCATTAGAAAGTGTTGTTATTTTATTAAAATTGCTGCTGTTGGGAACGTTTTCATGAACTAATGTACTAATTATTTGGTCGCTGATTTGATCGGAATCTGATTATAGTCGGAATCGGAAATTATTCTGAGTTTTCTTTTCTTAGAGAACTCATTTCCAAGCTGCAGGGTCATTTATCGCAATCTTTCTCAGATTTTGAAAATATCGGTAAAAACTAGCGTTCATTGGCCGTGGTTATCGACAGTATCACTTAATCAATTCACAACCTGACGTTTTTTAATTTCTTAAAGAATATGTTTTTCGCTTTGATGCACTGTTTAGTAGTAATACATGAAACAAAAAAAAGATCAGATAAATCTGAAAATTTCGACTGTAAAAAGTCTTCTCTTGGGGACCCGCGTTAGCAATTTAGTTTTTTACATGTTTAAACCCATATACAGGATGTCTCTTAAGTAGAGGGAAATATTTAAAGGAATAATAGCGAAACTCAAATACAAAAAAGTTTATATAAATAATGGTTCAATTTTTAGCAGGAAAGTAGAGAATTAAATTTTTATGTAAGTCACGTTTTTTGTAGAATAGGAGGTGATAAAAAAATAACTATTTAATTTATGTAATTAAGGATAGATTCACTTTAAACTAGACAAAATTTACTCTAAATAAAAATAGAGTTTGCTTTTATTAAAACCATTTAAAGAGAACTTTTGGCGGGCTAAACTCAGCTAAGGAATGGGGGGGAATGGGTAGTGGTGGGGGAACGGGTAAGCGAGGGAGAAGCAGGTGGTACAGATGTGCGCCTCCCTCCCTGAGAAAATTCCTGGATCAGGCAATGGTATCTTATTGTAATATTGTACATTCTCACTATTTGGACCAAGACTTATCGTTTGGTGATAACGCACAGCAGGGCGCTGACTGCAGGGCTTTTTATTGGTTTGGCACATTCGGCAGATTTGTGTGACTCGCCGGACTTCACACAGCGCATCATGTGGTGGCAATAAGATTTGGGCTTAGGTTCGAAAATTTCCACTCGCGTTTCACGTTTCAGACAAGAACCGAATTTGATTCGGTGTCTGTCTGTCTGTCAGTCAGTAGTCAAATCGATGTAACTGGCATATCACATACTACCATTCATCCAATTTTCAGGAATTGTGCGGATTGGTGTCTAGATGATCCCACATCAATTTTATTAAATTCTAACCGGCACTTCCGATTGCGCACGAGCAAACGCATTTTTTGTAGATATGCCAATATTTCAGAAAAAGCTCGTTCGATTTGGCTCAAAATTGGATGAAAGGTAGGTATTTGTGAAAAAATAATGTAGGGTAAATTTTATTGAATTCTGAACGTTATTTTCTCTTATATATGCGCAAACGTTTTTTCCTTAAAACGTTTATATCTCTAAAACAGCAAGTTCGATTTGGCTCAAATTTGGAAGCAATTTAGGGATTGGTAAACGTAAAATGAGATAGTCATCAATTTTATCAAATTCCATCTACTACTCCAAAAAAAAAAAATACTCCGCATTCAGATCAGGAAATGTCTTATTTAATGTGCCTATAGTTTGAAAACGGCGCATTCGATTTGACCCAAACTTTGGGTTTGATCTATTCGATTTGAGAAAATTTGGTGAACGATATAGAAATAACTTATTATCAACTTCATTGAATTCCAATTAGTAATTAAAATCAATATAAATAATTGTTAACAATATAATGGCTGTGAAATATTGAAGGCACCGGATCATATGGAGTAGGAGTTAGTTTATTAAAATATGGTTATGGGGTTATAAAATTTAATGTTTAATTTAAAAAAATAATTGATACTGTATTTTTTGGTGGATTCCAAACGTTACTGGCATGACATTTAATGCAGTTACTTAGATTTCGTGTAATTTTCAGAACATATAAAATAATTTTTACTCTGAGTTTGCAAAAAAAAGTCTTATTTGTTGTTATGCTTACTTCCATTGAAGTTTAACCAGTTTTAATTAAGAATAATCATGTATGGAATCTTTAAATACCGCACTCTTTCACATTTTAATATTAGCTGATAAACGAAATTCATGGATATCAGACCCGCGAATGTTGAACGGTAACTGTACGAATCGGCTTCACCCACAGATTTTATTCTCATACGAAAAATTGTATAACTTGTAATATAGATATATATATTAGCCAATGGAAACGGCGAGGAAGCTATACTGACCTTACTTGGCAGACGGTTTATAATTTCGTTTCAAGTCCAAGTTATAATTAAATTGACAATAAAATGAACAAATTTCTTATCTGGAGTATTCCATTAATCATTTTTACATCAATTTTTTATTATGAATCAAATTTAAATATAAATGTTAATTTTCCTCAAGTCTAAAATACAGAAAAGTGAATATTTTTGATGATTTAGTATGCAGCTGTCAAAAAAAAAATTTGTACTATTTCTAGTGACTACAAATATTTAATCTATCTTTAAAAATGAATTAGCCAGTCAGCTTTTCGCGTCACCTGAAAATGACGTATTTGAATTGGATTTCCTTCTCCACTTGATGATTAAACTAGAAGACTATAATCAACAGAAACTTGTAATGGTGTGTGTAATCAATAATTAAGTTATAACTTTAGATAGATGTTTTACTACTCCAGCCTTCACTATTTCTGTATTACAAAATTTTTTTGAATAATCTAAAACGGTCTCATATGGCTACTCATATCTAAGTTATGATTATTGTCCATATCTTGCATAATCTCAACGAAGTCTTCTTTTTTTGTTTTGTTTTTTTAAGAATATTAAATATAATACTAAGAGAAACCGAGGTCATGAAGAAGGAAGGAAACCAGGAGGATGTTGAAAGACTGAGAGAATGGCTTCTGAAGCAACCGCATCACCCCAAAGTCATTGGTAAATAATCTTTCGGAATTAGAAGTATTTCTAATTTATTACTATATAAAAAAAATTATATAAAAATTATTAAATTTGCAGAAGATAGGATGCTTTCGGCATTCGTCTACGGTTCCAAAAGTCTGGAAATCGCTAAACAGAAGCTGGAATCCTTCTTCACCTGGAGAGCTCACCTCCGGGATAACTATCCCTTCTTCTACATCAGGGACCCTTCAGATCCCTACTTCAAGAACTCTTTAAAATCTGGGTTAGATATTTAATTCAAGCATAATATCACTATCATTCTATCTTCTACAAATCCTAAGCACACCGAAGCAGCAATAATATAGTTAATTTATTTATATTATAATAAATATATATATGATATTATATTGTAATTACTAAAGCTATCTATAAAAAAAGTTTCTAAATGTCTAGTTCCTAAATTATAGTTGCCTTGTTACAATTATTTATGATTTTTTAAATTGTTCACATGATATGTGAGGAAAATATTGATTAATTTTGAGCAATTAGTCAAAGCTTAGATGACCAAATTTCATCATTAATTTAAATTTTTGACGTTTCGGTTTAACAGGAGCCACTCTCATTTGTTCTGCCGTAATTGAATGATTTGAATAATGAATGATTTGAATAATGAATGATTTGTGACAAAAGAATTATGGAAAGAAGGAAAATTATTTTTTATTTTTACCTGGAGAAGTACAATGAAAATACTATAAGATTACTAAACTGTGATGATTTGCTAAATGACCCACCAAACTTATCAGTCTAATAGATTATATTTGATGAAAGAACACACCTAAATACGGAATGTTAAAATTTATCCGATAAAATTTACTTCAACATAATATATGCACAATGTCCTGTGACACATATTATATGTATAAGTGGAGTAGCTCAGTGACTTAGACACTGGGCTGCTGAGCTCAAGATCTCGAGTTCGAGTCCGGCTGATAACAGATAATTATTTATTCTGATTCATCAGCCTTGGATCGAGCATGGTTTCGGGAGACTCTCTCGGTTAATACCAAATCTCTATAAAGTGGGTATTCTTAATTAAATAATTGATAAAGAGGAAAATCTGGTGGTTTAGCGCAACCCTGGTTCGATCACCTCCTTATACAATCATAGGTGTGCAGGGTCTTTTTTATTTTGTATGTGTGACTATCGAACGCATTCCTTCTCTCCCCGATTAAGTTCTCCTTAAATTGGAACTATGGGCAATTACTTTCATACCACTATGATGAGCTGGTTGTCATGATTAAGTTACGGATTCTAAACGTTTGAGATCCTACTGCTTTAATTTATATATTTTTTTCGTGTTTTTGTAGTTGTTTGCAGTTAAATAGAACTGCGCTTTATTCATAGGAATTTCAAACAATAATTTCGGAAAGTTGTGTTATACACCAGAGAACAATTCTTTATTACCAGAGCAACAGTAAACAACCGATAAACACCACGACTTAGTGCATAACCTGACCTATATAAAAATCGCTTGAAAAATTAAGAGAAATCGGTTGCAAGGTTTTGAGTTTTTCTTATAGATATATATATAGATTACTATTAACAATAACTAACTAAAATATTCAGAAAAAGTGTTCACAGCTTGATTAATTACACAATTATTCATTTTCAGGAATATGTTCTTCCTGCCAAAGACTACTCCTGAGGGATACAGGGTCTTCTATACCGGAATAACGGATCAGTTCGAAGAGCATTACGACCACGATCAGACCACAGCGTGCTTTCACATGTCGCTGGAGCTCTCGATGGATCAATGGCCAGACATGAAAGGGATATTCATAATCTGGGACCTGAAGGGTTTCAAACCGAGCTACGCAGCCAGGTTAAACTTATCTACCTTCGAAACCACCATCCGCTACTTGCAGGTATTAGACCAATCAAATTGTTTTCAAGTAAAGCTTAAAGTGGAATAGGAAGTGTGACTTAAGTAACGAAATTGATATTTATTGACATAAATATTTATTTATTATCACCTTCAATGTTCATCAATCCTCAATCTCCAAAACGCTCTATGTAAATTTTCCATCCTCTAAATGAATGCTGAAAATCTTCTGTCAGCTACTTCAGGCCGCGTTCCACTTTTTCTTTCACAGCTTTAACAGACTGAAATCTTGTTCCTGTCAATATGGATTGACGAATCGTGTTTTCCTTTTACACATTATCATAAAATGTAGCACCGATCCACGCCTGGAAGAGCCTGACCTCACCGAGAATGAGCACATGGAAATCCATAGCAAGGATGATTGATTTTTTTTCGATATACATAAAATCCTATGTAAAGTAAAATCTTACTCATTCAGTTTGTTCCGGAAGGTCAAAATTTTAATCAATATTGCTACATTTACGTTGTTACTGGAAGAAAACCCGACACGAGTCTTGAAGGAGCTGACAGTAGAGGACTCGATTATGTATTAGTATGGTGGTAACAATCTAAACATTTATGAAATTAAATTAATTATTTTACATCGTTAGTCTCGTTATTCAATAGTCATACTTCGTAGTAGTCGTTTTTTTGAGTGGTATACCATATGTTTTTTAGGGTGCTAAAGAGGAATCTGAAGTTGTCTAACAGTAATTTGGACCGCAAATAAAGTAAATAACCAAATCAGATGTTTTCTTGTCTTTTGCTTCCTGGCTACCGAAGGTAGAGAAGCATTATATTCGTGCGAGAGGTTAAAAAAATTTTGTGCTCAGGATCGAAAATTTCCACTCACGTTTTACTTTTCATACATCAAGGATCAAATTAGGTTCGGTGTCTGTCTCTCTGTCTGTAGTCAAATCGATGTAACGGGCATATCACCTACTACCGTTTATGCGATTTTCATGAAATTTTCAGGGATTGTGTCTAGAAGATCCCATATCAATTTTATTAAATTCTAACCAGCAGTTCCGCTTACGCACGCGTAAATGCATTTTTGTAGATATGCCGATATTTCAGAAACAGCTCGTTCGATATGTCTCAAAGTTGGATAAAAGGTAGGTTTGTGAAAAAATAATGTGGGATCAATTTGATTGAATTCTGTACATTTATTTCTCTTCTATATGAGCAAACATGTTTTCCTTAATACGTCTAAGTTCGATTTGGCCCAAATTTGGAGGAAATTTAGGGATTCGTAATCGTAATCTGAAACAGGCATCAATTTTATCAAATTCCATCTACTACTCCAAAAAAAAATACTCCGCTTCCAGATCAGGAAATGTGTTATTTGATGTGCCTGTAGTTTGAAAACGGCGCATTCGATTTGACCCAAACTTGGAGAAAATTTGGTGAACGATATAGAAATAACTTATTATCAATTTCATTGAATTCCAATTAATAATTAAAATCAATATAAATAATTGTTAACAATATATTGGCTGTGAAATATTGAAGGCACCGATCATATGGAGTAGGAGTTAGTTTATTAAAATATGGTTATGGGGTTATTAAATTTAATGAAATGTTTTATTTGATATGTCTATAGTTTGAAAACGGCGCATTCGATTTGACTCAAACTTGGAGGAAATTTGGAGAAGAGTATAGAAATTAGTTTTTAGAAATTAGAAATTAGAAAAAAGTTGTATCAGTTTCATTGAATTCAATCTAAAATTTAAATTAATATAAATAATTGTTCACAATATAATGGCTGTGAAATGTTGAAGGCACTGATCATATAGAGTGGTAGTTAGGTTATTTCAATATTGTTATGGGGTTATAAGATTCTAGGTTTTATTAAAATAATTAATGGATACTGTATAGTTTGGTCGATTCCAAACGTTACTGACACTTACTTTAGTTACTTAGATTTCGTGTAATGGTGAGTAAATTTAAAGTGATTTTTACTCTGAATTTGGAAAAAAAAAGAAAGTATTATTTCTGATTGTGTTTATTTCCAATTAAATTCAATCAGCTCGTCGTGGTCTTGATTTTCTCCTTAAATATCAAAAACTTGACTCATATTTTTAAATTCCAGCTTAAATTAGTTTTGTTCTGACTGAATAAAAGTAAACAAAAGAAAAGTCTCGTTAGCTCCGAACAAACAAAAAGTTGAATTTTTTCTATGAATTTTTTGTTCCATAAATTTTACGAGTGAAAACATACTTATTAAGTATATATCACTACTGTTAGTGCAAAGAAGTTATGTAAAAGTTTTCAATTTTTATTCTATTTTGACATTATGTAGTCTGCAATTGATATAAGTTGTCTACTACCATGAAAAATAGCAGGGGGCAATAAAATATAAAATTATACTAATAAATCATAAAGAAACAATTATTTTCTTTGGTCTCCTGTAAAACACTCAATTTTTATAAAAGTCATTTGCAATTACTGCAGCGAGAAACATATTCAGTATGCACTGGATTTGTTTTTTATTACCAATTATCAAATATGCAATCTGGGAATGCGGAACTTTTTCGCATTTCAGTATTTGCTGATAAACAAAACTCTATGTTGAGGGATTATTGAATTTACGTAAACGGCTTCTTCCAGAGATTTTATTCTCATATTTTTTAATTTTAAATTTTTAGACCTTTTAATATAGATATTTTTTAGCAAATGAAATCGGTGAGGAAGATTTTTTAGCTTATAACATGCAAAATATGTTCACTACCAATAAAGTGATTTAATACTACAAACTGATCACCTGCAAAGATGAGAACACTTTTTGAAACCCTTTTACTTATACATTTTTAACAAAAAATTGGTTCTTCGCTAAAGTACGTTGAATGGTCAGGGGAAACCATTTTTATTTTTTGTTATTTACTAAAAATTAAAAAAAACATATTCAATTATACTCACAACGCGTACTTCCAGGAGGTAGACTCCCAAGTAGATTCTTTGCTGATGTCAGTTTGAAAATTTTATGATTCATATTGCTTGAGATTTATTTCATAAGTGGAAATAAATTTGACTCTCTTTGAATGAAGATTTTAAAAAAAGTGTTTATAAAAAAATTGAGAGTTGAATTCTTCGTAATATTACCACTTCAGTAGCTTAAGTAATTATAAACTCAAATTATTCTCTATTATTTTCATATTTCATTTGAAAAACAGATATTGGTTTGAAAGACCATAACCATACAAAATATTTACGATTTCACGTCTCGGTGCCGGAGGGGACTTTTGACTCTGGCAGAAATCCCCCGCCTCCTCTCCTTTTAGCCTAAAAGCCAAAGTAGACTGGATAAAAAAAAAAACTAACTACCTACATGTATTAGTGTTTTAGCCATTCTTTATGTGGTATTAAATATAGTTAAACGACTCATTATACTTTTAGAGGTGATTTATCTTCTTTCTTGTTTTATATATTTTTAAACGAATTTTAAGAGAAAATGATTAGTTAGGACTGCGTTTACTAATTCCTTATTTTTTTTTAAATTTTAAATTTTTACTCTCCTTACCTATATGTGTAATATATAGTGAGTGTAAATATTGCGGTCGTGAAAATTTTTGAATCTGCGTTTTCAACGGAAATACAAGTTTTGAGGTCCCTGAGTTCAAATGACCAAGTCCCGAAAAATGGTCTGTGTGTATATGGACACTCTAGCTCGAAAACGAAGTTGTACTAAATTGATATTACGTATTTAAGATAAGTATATGCCTTAGATGTTCTAGCACCTTTTTCCTTAAAATCGACTAACCGGAAGTGACACTTTATATCAACGCTGAAACAAATTTTTACAATTTTCTCAAAAACGGCTCTAACTATTTTGATTAAACTCGGTATATCATTGTATAATTAAGTAGTCTTTAATTTCATTTAGGTCTTATCCTTTCTGATGTCACTCTACAGGGCTTAAGTGCCAAATGTCCATATACCTCTTTTTCTAAAGTACCTTTAATATGGTTTATTTTAAATAATTAATTATCTCTCATTATTAAGAGTTACGAAGAAATGCTAAATATAACTTATTTTCAAATTCAAATCATAAGTGGAAATAAATTTGACTCTCTTTGAATGAAGATTTTAAAAAAAGTGTTTATAAAAAAATTGAGAGTTGAATTCTTCGTAATATTACCATTTCAGTAGCTTAAGTAATTATAAACTCAAATTATTCTCTATTATTTTCATATTTCATTTGAAAAACAGATATTGGTTTGAAAGGCCATAACCATACAAAATATTTACGATTTCACGTCTCGGTGCCGGAGGGGACTTTTGACTCTGGCAGAAATCCCCCGCCTCCTCTCCTTTTAGCCTAAAAGCCAAAGTAGACTGGATAAAAAAAAAAAACTAACTACCTACATGTATTAGTGTTTTAGCCATTCTTTATGTGGTATTAAATATAGTTAAACGACTCATTATACTTTTAGAGGTGATTTATATCAATTTTTAATTTTTTTTTCAGAAAATATGGTTGGTTACATTTAGTTGCTCTGTATATATTATAATTTTTAAAAATGTACATATTATGATTGTTTAAGTATTTAGCTTAGAACAATCACAGTAACAAATATGGGCAAACGAAAAAAAAAAATCGTTTTGAAGGTCTTCGAAAGCTTTCCCCCTATTATATTATTATCTATTGTATTATTATAGACACACAGCGAACGATATACATACACCAGCTATACAGCTTAGATCACTATGGCCATCGACCTGGTTAAGCAAAATTACAAAATTATTCCAACCCGAGCAACCAACTTTTCTCATCAACGTGTGAAACTGGATCTGTGCTACCAAAAGTACGGAGAAAAGTGAGGAAATGTGCTTAATTATACGATTGTTCCCACGAAACCTAGGCACATTCACACAGAACGTTTTTTCTTCCTTCTGGTGATATAGTTAAAGCAGAATAGGTCGCCGAGACCAGCAATTAAGTCTTCTACTTCTTTTTTAAGATTGGTAATTGAGATTAAATAGTTAGTTTTAAGAGCAAATACATTAGTGATTTTTTTATCAATAAATTGTTTGAATTAAAATTTACTAGATATGACTAACACTATCTGCCACGTAAGAATGATAAAAGAACGCGATGTTGTTTTCCAAAACTAATCATTTTTTCCCCAAAATTCATTTTAAAAAACCCGAACAATAGTAATTAGCTTCTCATAGATGTCGATCTCTTACATCGAAGTAACGTTTTGAAGACCTTTTATTTAAGTTATAAAAATTAATTAATTTCTGTTCATTCCTTGTCCGTCGGTTTACTTTAATTAACAAACACTTTTTTATTTTTTATTTATTGATTATTACAGCAATGTGTCACTTGTAAATTAGTTATAGTGAGGTAATATAACATTCTACTACCTCTATAACTATAATAATTTTTAATTTTTTATCTATTATTATATTATTATTATTATTCCCATTCTTTATCCTCGCTTTGCGGGGTAAGTTTCTGAGGTGGGAGACCAGAAGTCCAGCCACTTCAGATTAATATTTATTACTTTTTAGATATTTAAAAACTTTCGAACAATACGTGCCGTATCCAAGAGAACTGAGTGTTGAGCCTCTTTCAGCACTTCAAGAGGTAATTTTAACCCATCGTGCCTGCCACTGTTGTCTTTGGTATCAATCCATTGGAGGATATTATAATTGGAGTGGTGGTGACGTTCCCCAAATGATATAATTCCTTCAGTTCGATTGCCAGTTCCTGGTATTTTCTCAGTTTTTCTCTAACACTGGAGCTTATATTATTATCATTGGGGATCCCGACATCAATAAGCTCTGCTCTTTTCTCTCTCATGTCTATCAGAAGGATGTCTGGTTTATTGTGACGCATAGTATGGTCAGTTATTATTGACTCATCCCAGTAGAGCTTGAGACTACCTTTTTGGAGGAGTTTATTTGGGTGGTACTTATAATATGATAATACTTATTATTATTATTATTATTTAAATATTATTTTCAAAAATTATTATTTAATAATTTTTTTGCCACTCTCCTTTACCCTCTACAACTTTCTATATTAAATATTGTTTTTTTTTTTTCTAAAATTCCCCACTTTCCAACGATATATTATACATATACCTTCTGACTAGTATTTCCGGAGATTCATTTTCGACCTGGATAAGCATTTTTTTATCTTCTATTCAATTATTAAAAGTTATATTTAGCATTCTTTCGTAACTCTTAATAATGAGAGATAATTAATTATTTAAAATAAACCATATTAAAGGTACTTTAGAAAAAGAGGTATATGGACATTTGGCACTTAAGCCCTGTAGAGTGACATCAGAAAGGATAAGACCTAAATGAAATTAAAGACTACTTAATTATACAATGATATACCGAATTTAATCAAAATAGTTAGAGCCGTTTTTGAGAAAATTGTAAAAATTTGTTTCAGCGTTGATATAAAGTGTCACTTCCGGTTAGTCGATTTTAAGGAAAAAGGTGCTAGAACATCTAAGGCATATACTTATCTTAAATACGTAATATCAATTTAGTACAACTTCGTTTTCGAGCTAGAGTGTCCATATACACACAGACCATTTTTCGGGACTTGGTCATTTGAACTCAGGGACCTCAAAACTTGTATTTCCGTTGAAAACGCAGATTCAAAAATTTTCACGACCGCAATATTTACACTCACTATATATTACACATATAGGTAAGGAGAGTAAAAATTTAAAATTTAAAAAAAAATAAGGAATTAGTAAACGCAGTCCTAACTAATCATTTTCTCTTAAAATTCGTTTAAAAATATATAAAACAAGAAAGAAGATAAATCGCGCTCTGTGTGCACAAGCCTAAATAATATCGCCTTGCTATTCGTCCTTACCTTCTACATATTTATATTACAGTAAATATTAAAAAATAACCCCAATAAAATCTTTTTTAGGATGTTTATCCTGTCAAGATGAAGGGAGTTGTCTTCCTCAACACTCCGGCCATTGTAGAAACCTTCTATAACACCATCTTCAAACCATTCTTGAAGGAGAAATTAAAAAAGAGAGTAAGTTGTCAAGAATAACAATTGCGTTTGTATGTTAACAGTATTTACGGTTAACCATTAAAATAACATTATTTTCTCGAGCATTCGATATAGCCATGTCATATAGCATCAAGGAATATGTAAATATAAAATACAATTTTTTCAGATATTGCGGAATTCCAAAATATTCATTATGCACTCCTTGATAAAATTATATAGTTTTATATAATTATATTAATAATGTAATTATTAATTATATTCTTCAACAAGAATTTTCAGAAGTAACCGCGCATTATAAGGTTTTTTTCAAATGGTATAAAAATAAAATTTTAACGAAATGCAATCTAATAAACAAATTCATTTATTCTGCATTCCAGATTACAATAACAAGAGAAGATAGTAAATGCCTAAAAAAATACTTACCAGAAGAAATACTTCCGTCGGACCTCGGTGGAAAGGAGAAGTCTTCTGCAGAATTTAATGGTAAAGATTCATGCCATCATAAATTATATGAAACCGTCATTTTAAATTCATACATGACACGTTTAATGCAAAAATAGTGCAAGTAAGTATCTAAAACTAAGATTTTTAACACCAGAGGAAATTTAAGAAAAGGTTAGGTATGGATAAATAATAGACATTTCTTGGAAATAATAATAGTTTATAAGTCGTTGTATAGACCTCTTTTCATAAAATTATTAACATCCCCATGAAACTACATGAATAGCTTCATCTCATCGTAACCTAAAAATATTTTTTTACGAAAAATCTCGGAAAATAAGTGACCTACAAAAATATTGGTCCGTTTGGCATGACCTACACCCCCAAAATGTCAAAATAAGGTTATATAGGCCAAACGGCCCAATATTCTTGTGTCACTTTTTACCGATTTTATGATTATTTTATCTTACGATTCATGTGGAAAGTAAATGGCTATTCATGAGTTTTTAATGCCTAATTAAATAAACAAAGTTTGCCGACCTCCAGATTGAAAATGCCCCAATTTTGAGTTTCCGCAAATAAAATAGCAGTAGATTACGATGAGATAAAGTTATCTACGAAGTTTTGTGCTGATGTTTATATTTTTATAAAAAGAGGTCTGTACCACGGACTTTATCTATTTTATATATATTAAATATTATATTTGTAATTTATATTCTTATCTCACTATAATTATTTTCCTTGTGACAGGATGTTATATTACTGAATAAATAATAAAAAAAATTGTCTTTAAGGTAAAATTACGTAATTTATTAGTAATTCTTGATACTATTTATTTAGTATCATTTATCACTTATATGACTTATAGTTAATAAATTTATGTATTTATGATGCTTGAGAGTAAAAAAGTAACTTTATAATATTTTATTTTGAATATGTTTCGATTATTTTCAAAACATTTTATGTGGTGAAGTTAGTGTTCCACCTTAAGCATCCCTAATACATACATATGTCAACTATAAGTGATGTAACCATGAAGTCTCTGTCTTCATTAGATAATTTATTATGAAAACGACTTTCCACCATTAATGCATCTAACCGCGCTTATTGCAGGGGACATTTAAATTAAGTATACATTTAAGATTATTTTTAAAATATTGCATATTGTCGATTAACAACTTTTTCTCATAATTATGGTTCACTTCGAGCATTTACATTTATTACATTGCTATATTCCGAAAGGTCTCAGATACGTTAGGTATCGAGGTAATCACTTAAAAAATAAAAGCAAAATTATTATTGATACATAATTATTAATCCACTACTTTTATTGAATGTTTTGCATTTACCCAGAAACATCAAAATAAATTCCAGTTTTTGAAGCCACAATCAACAAAATTTGCTCTCTAATAATTCATAAAGTGGAATGATATTTTTATTTTGAATTTTTAAAACTTTTGTCTCATCTTTATCCTAAATAAAACTTCAAGTGATCCTTAAATAAAATTATGTATAATATATCCTTGGAATCATTAGCATTTAATGGATACATTATACATTTATTATTATGGATTGATGGTTAACTGTAGTGAATAATTGAAAAGAATAATGGTTGGGAATATCAGCAATTTTTTTTTAACTAATCACCCCAACCATTCTTCTCTTAAATTATACATTTATTAATACTAATCATTTTTTTTTAGATTTTTGTTTCCTACCTGCGAAAATGTGTCTCTTTTCGTAATTATCAAATTTTTTCGAAGTTTATTATCTTAAGTACTGTCAACCACGAGAAGGTGTTGATTATTTGAAATAAACAAAATGAAAGGTACTTAAGAAGAAATTTTGAAAACAGACATTTATGACCTGTCAGACTTTTTCTATCGAGGTTATATAATATTGCGTAATATTAAATAACAATAACAATAATAATAATAATCTCAACCTGGTATCAAAGATTCAATTAGGCCGTTTAAAAAACAGCTAAAATGCTGTAACAATCTAGTCAAAAATTCACCATTTTAGACCTTTCTAACTGTTTTATTTAAGTCACGACCTATATGATATTAAAGGCGTTTGCTTTGATTTGATTAATTTAATCAAAATTGTAAAAAGTCCTTTCAAAGAACATTGTAAAAATGTTTAAAATCGATAGTATGAAGTACCATTTCTGGTCTATTGTTTGCTGGCATATCTAAGTTGTAGACCTACCTAAAATACCTATTTTCATTTCCGTAAGACCTTTCGTTTTTAAACTAGGCTGTTCACATACTCTCAATATAACACACACATGGCATTTTACGAGATTATTATTGGTTACTTGGACCCAGACGACCTTAAAAAGTCTATATCCGTTGAAAACTCGGATTCGAAATTTTTCAGGTTCGCAATATTACAAACATATTATCACGGTGAATATATATCTCATTAATATATCTGTGCCCGTAATTAAATGACACCATATCCATTTTTATTGAATAATTTAGTAACTAAGATACGAATTTTAATAGCTCAAAGTTATGGAAAATACAAAAATGGACATGGTATTTTTTATCTCCGGAGTACAGATATCATAAAAAACAAAATAGATTATTATATACGATAAAGCGAAAATCTTGGGAAAATAATTAACATAGTAAAGAAAAACAGCATTAATGACCCAAGGATTTAAGAATGTAATGATGAGAAAAACATAATTTCTCATGATTACATTTTGTCATCATTAGCATAATTGATTTATTTTTATAATGATATGTCTTCTGTTAGGAATGATTTTTTTTGTTGTTGTTTTATGTGTTTATGCAAGAGTATATTAGCCAATATACGTGTTAGGAATGATGTTTGAAAATTAAAGTTATAATAATTTTAGATATGCAGTGTTTATATTAGGTTTTGAATAACCTACATACGAGCATTTGTGCCTCGAAAGTTAGGGACACCATTTGCATTTTTTTATTAAATAACTTAGTAACTAAGAAACATATTTAATTGCTCATAGTTATGAAATATTGGTTCCCCTCAACAAACTCAAAATTGGTTTTGTTTACCTCCGTTGTACACAGATATACGTTTTATTTAAATCCCATCACTTAAATCTTTATTATCGAAATTGATATTTGAAATCATTACTTATATCACATGACATGACGCAAAGTATACAATTAATTACTTAATTACAAAGGGTGTTTGAGGGTTAAGTGGCCAAACTGAAAATATGAATTAAGGACTTCAAAACAAAAAAAAAAAAAACGCTGCAAATTATTTCACAATGGTTTATTATCTCCAAACAATTATACATCTAAAGTAACATTACCTTCCGAGCTACAAAGAAAAAAAAACAAAAGGTGATTCCAATTATTGGACTAAACTGTTTTTCTTTAATCATTAGTAATATGCTAAAAAAAATAGCATTAATTCAGTTACACATTTAAAATTTAAAAACCAAAACTAAGGATAAACATTTGGAGTATAACACATAAAAAAAAAACGGAGACCATATCTTTGCTCCTAATTGTCCGATTTTAACGATTTTTTTTTTTTTTTTTTAGAAAATTTCGTAAACTTTTAAAAAACTATTTTATATACGATTTCGATGAAACTTCCTTAAGTTTTTAAGAAATTTAAATACCTTTGAAACATCTTATCACAATATCAAAAAAAAAGTAAAAACTTTTCGAGTTATTCGGAATTTAATTTTACCATCCCTCGTAACTTTTTTTCCAGCTTTTTTTTCGTTGAAGTATGTTATATATATAAATTTAAAGGGCGTCGAGAAAATGACTTTAGCGAAGTTTCATTGAAATCTGTACATTCGTTTAGGAGCTACAGTCTATAGCAACGCAGGTTTTTCGGCCGCCATTTTGAAAGTTAAAGGCGGAGAGTAATGTCGATGAAGGAGGATCATCCTCGGGTGTCCTCTGATTTTATATCAAAATTTGAAAAAAATCGGTCCAGTAGTTTCGGAGAAAATGCGCGGACGGCGGACGGGCAACAAAATTTGTATTCGTTTTTCGAATTCTACGCTTCTTGAAACGTGAAACCTCAAATTTTGAGAGGGGGGTTATGTTTTTGAATTTTTTGGTCGATCACAATGTTTCATTATTGAAAATAATAAACCAAAATATTTCTATGAAGTTATGTCCGCAAACGCTTTGCTTAAGAGATATTCACACCTAAAGATTTTCGTTGTTATATATTATTTAGGTTATATATTAAGTAAATAAAACTTATTTATTTTTTCCAACTACTTTAAAATTCAACGTAAACATTAAATTCATGTTAAATGTTGTCCAAAGAGATTTCCTTGAGCATAAAGGCAGGCTCAGCATCTTTCTTCAACAGAAGCAGTGGCAGAACGGCATTGGATATGTGTTATTGCTTCACAAGTTTCAGTTATCCTTCTTCGTAAGGAATCAAGGTCATTGGCCAGACTTGCGTATACTTTTGGTTTAATGTCACCTCAAACAAAAAAAATCCAGTGGTGTCAGGTCTGGCGAGCGTGCAGGCCAAGCCACTGGTCCTTCACGGCCAATCACTAGCGGATCCAGGATTCCATTTGGGGGGGGAGGTGCTATAGCTCGAAAACTTTTTTTTCATAAAATTATAACGATAATTAATTTGAAAAAAATATGAAATAAATTAATTACCTACATGAAATGGTGTTTAAGTGGTTCTTAAAATTCTATTAAATGTAATTACACGAACAAGAATACTATAAAAGATAGTTTTTAATATTTTTTTCCGTAAAATATAGTTAGATTTTGCCATTTCGGGGGGGGGTTTCAGCCCGAAAGCTCCATCCATCCATTGATTGGGTAATTAAAAATTAGCTATTGTCTTTCACCTTTTCCGTAATGTGCAGGAGAATTATCTAATTGAAGCCATATGTCCCTTCTCAGCTGTAGTAGAATATGTTTAACTAAATCATAGTCATCATCATTAAGAAATTCCAGAAATGTTCCCGCATTGAGTCGAGACGACAAGAAATACGGTCCTATTAAAATATTGTCTATTATCTCCAACCAAACACGTGTACTGAAACTGGTGCTGAAAATGATGCTCAGGAATTGCATCAATTGCGTTCATGTTTACATGTAGTTAATAAAGTAGTTACAACAAATAAATAGGTTTTATTTATTTCGTATAATGTAAATAATTCATAACAACGAAAATATTTAGGTGTGAATACTGTCTAAACAAAGCGTTTGCAGACATATCTTCAGAGGAAATTTTTTTCTTGTTTTGAAGCCCTTAGTTCATTTTTGCAGTCTGGCCACTTAATCCTGAAACACCCTGTATATACAAGTTACAATTTATGTATACCTTGTTTCATACTCTAATTTTAACCATCGTCATTGTAGAATGACGTGGAAATTATTTCTAAATATCTTCGTTTCTTGAGTCCCACATCTAGAGAATCTACGGTCTAGTGACCCTGAATTTAAAATATTGTCTCATATATTCCCTTTTTTTCAGAGGACTGGTTGAATTTGCTGATAGAGAAGAAAGATGGGATCAAAAGTTACTCACTTCTTGTTGCCGATGAGAGCAAACGTCCGCCGGAGACAAAGCAAACTTTCGGCATCGAAGGAACCTTCCGAACTCTAGCCATTGATTAGCACCTAAAAAGTTTATTGTATCTAATTTAACTGTAATTTTAAATAACTTTGAATTTAGCTTTATAACATTTAATAAAGCGTCGAATATTATTATTCTTTAATAAAAACTTCTAACCAACTCTCTGAGAAAGAAGAGATAGTTCTCTCCCGATTAAGGATTGAGTATTGTATTTTCACAAGCCTATCTACTAAGAGGACTAGACCCTCTAACACGCGAGAGATATAACGTTCAAAGACATAGTAATATTGCAACTTAAATATCATATATTTACATACTTAGACATCAAATTTTAAACATTATACTTCATACAAAGAAACAATGCAGTATAATCAAATATTAATAATGTACCGACAGATACTAGAATAAGAAGCAGATGGACCTATGTTGGGACCAACGCGATAAAAAAGTCTTTCCGAAAAAAAATCTGTCTTTAGCACTAGAAATTAAAAAGATTTTATTTTGTAAATTAGACTAAATACCTGTATGCATTTATTTAAATCGTTGTTTAAGAAATAATGCCATCATCTTAATAGTATTTGGAATATAGTGGACTGTATGAAATAAAAATAAATTATGAATGTTAAACTAATAATTTAAACTATGTTTTGATGTGATACATAATGGGAAACAATAGCGGATACAGGATTTAACTTTTTGGGGGCTTCAACCCAAAAGCCTTTATATATATAATGATAATTACTTTGGAAGAAAAAGAAAGAGACTATTTACCTACACGAAATATTGTCTCAGTCCTATTAAATGTAATTAGACGAACAATAAAACTTTCAGAGGGATTTTTTTTCATAAGACATGGTTAAATTTTACGATTTTGGGGGGAGGGAGATCTTCAGCCCGAAAGCACTCCTGTAGATCCGGCTCTGATGGGAAAATGGAGAGGAAAAATTAATATAATAATGTTGTTTTAATTGAAATTTCTCAGTGAGACTAAAATTTGACATTGCAGCCAGTTGAAAAAAGAGGATTTAATATATTGTATATTGTAGAATGCAATGTCGATGATGGTTAGAAGAAAAAAATAAATAAATGGTTGAATTTACTCAGGCTTTGGAGAAACCTGTGATAATTGAATAATAAACGTTTGGGGCTCAAATAAGAAAAAAAATGTAAAAAATTTATTATTAAATGGTCATAATATACAAAAAATTAAAAAAAAAAAGAAAAGAAGAACTATTTGTTGATCTTGTATTTCCCCTTAGGCCTGAAGGGATTCCTCAACCAGTCAGACCGGTCCTCCAGAACCAAAGACTCCCGGCAGAGCTCCTCGCTGCCCCAGCTCTGCCGCTTCTTCTTCCGAAGGAAAGACAGCTTTCCCTTCTTCTCTTCTGTCTAGAAAAAAAAAACAGAAAAGTTATTTATTTCAGTTTTTCCGAATGTTAATAAACATTACTTATTCTATAAAAATCAGTTCAGGAATTAATGAAAGTCATTTTCCGATTATTCTGGAACATTCATTCTGTGATCAGCCTTCAATGAGAATTATTAATTTATTTACAATTAAATGAATGAATTATATCGGCTACCTCGTCTTTGACTGTGAGACCATTGGGAGATGGAACAGAGCAGTCTACTATTACTATATCCTTGTCTTCCTCTTCAGGTTCCTGGTAAGTTGGCTCTACCGGCGGTGGGCCGATCACTCCTGACAGAAAGTCTTCTTTGGCCTTTTGTATTCGGAGTGCTCTTTGTTTGAGGCTTTCGCAAAGTTCAGGCTTCACCAATTCCTACAAGATACAACAAATTAGTTACTAACTAAATATTTTTTTTTAAAACTTATTTATTGAAAAATATTACAATCTGTCTCAAGGACATTTATAATAGTGTTCACAGATCACATTCACACTCTACATACAATAAATAAAATAAATTATGCAGAAAAACAATATATAATATATACAATACATAAGAAAAAAGAACCTACAAATAAATAAATAAAAAGAACACATACATACATACCTATATACAATATTTATCTATCTGAAACGGATAGATCCGTCGAAAGCCTGTGGAGGGAAAAGCATGAATCCAGGAGATCCCTGCACTTCTCTCTCAACCGCGTCGCTGAGGCTAAATCCAATGGAGATTGAACAAGTGTGCCATTGCCATCTCTCCAAATCTGGCCGTTACCAGAACTCCAATAGCTTAATAATTAACCACGAAGAAGATACGTCTCTCTACTACCCCAAAAGTTTAATACTGAGTTCGATCAAATCCCAAGGAATGTGCTAAACGAATGGCCCAGTCCATTCTAGGAGCCAGATATTTGAGAGCACAGCAGAGAGGTGAATTGTGGCCGATTCCCTTCCCCGTGCAGAAGCTCATAATATGAAATTTTATTGTACTATAACAGGTTTGTTAACAGGTATAGTATCTATAGGAGATAATAATGCCTTATTCACAGGTTGGTTATAATTATATTGAGTTGAACCCTCAGGCAACGCTACAACTATGGCAGGTTGGATAATTTATTATAAATCACAGAATTATAATTGCTCTAGACAAAAATTAATTGATGAAAACCTAATGTTGAGAGTAATAAAACCTATAAAGAATACCTGCAACCGTTCTATCCTCTTAATTATTTCGGATGGCTGGTTCTCCAAAAGATCAGGAATAGGTGGAGGAGGAAGCACTGGATGTCGCTCCTGGGCTTCAGATAGTTCTTCTGAGAGTGGATCATCATCGGGTGTGCAATTATCTTCGGAAGTTAGATCCGGAGCTTCCTCATCAACGTCTTGGTCGAAAGTGTCAGTCGTTGTTTGTTCAGGAAAGGTAAGAGGTTCTGCAGTGAATTCAGAACACTGTCCCAGGCTGATAGTTGAAGGATACTCTTCTTCTAAAAACAAAATATCCATATAATTTGTAGTATATCTTGAGTAATTAGAAAACAAATTTTGTAAAACCAAAAACTGAGGGAGAGGTGGAAAGAGAACAAAACATCTCATGTTAAATAAGTTTAAGTAGTACTTATTCATTTTTATAGCTTCTCCGTTACCCACTTATTTATCTTTTTCTAATATATGAGCTCCATTGGTATTATCAAGTGTGTGCATATACATGAACATTATTCATAACCAAATATTTCGTTTTTGATGCGAACTTTGGTTACCTTTACCCCCATCTGGTTCCTCGACGGGCCGCATCTCCACGGAATCCCCTACGGGCGAGAATATTGTCCTCACCGTCGGTACTAGGACTCGGTCGTCGAAAGCCTGGAAGGTGAAGCTCGCTGGTGAAGAACAATCCTTTTCTCCTTGCTGTCTCCCGCACTCCCAGTCTGCAACAAGGATATTCTGGTGCTTTAACAAGTACCAAGTAGCAAGTATTCTATCTAAGACTAGATCTATAGTCGCACACTGGGTCGAGCTTAAGGTTTCTTGGACATCGACTCTAACTTACTCGGAAATTGCAGTATGCTGCTCAAATTTGGTCTGTTTATGTTTTAGGTGTTAAATTTGAATAAAAAATATTTAGTCGACCATATACATGCATTAAAAGAAAACTAATAAAATATTAATTTTTATTTTATCGTGGTAATATTTTTCCTGTTTAAAAGTTAAGAGTAAAATATTACTGTTGTACCACTATATTCTTCTAGTATAAAATAATTATAGATCATATAAATTTATTTATATACACACATATACATATGAATTTCATAAAAAAAATTGTAAAAATATTCGCGGTAGATTTCAATATATTGTTTAAAATCCATGTCTTGTAGTTTATATTGTAAACATTACATTGTTCAGATATTGTATAATTTATTACCTATTTCATAAAGACATATTCCACTAAAATATAAATACCTCCACAGATTCCATCCACAATTCGGCTCTTAGAATCTGTACAGGAGCCTTCCGAACTTCTCCAGTCGAAAGTATATATACCGAATCTGGAGAACCTTCTCTAGAGATGAGACGAAAATACTTATCAATGAAATATATTTCAAAATTGAAAGCACATCCACAGCACCCATTAGCTTCAAAACTGTTTATTGAGGAATCTGAAAAGCGCGGGCTCAAAGACATAGAAGAAAACAAATTTAAATTGATGGTTTATCAAACGTTGTGTGATACAGGCATAGATCTGAACACAATAAGACCTATACCTGATCTCAAACTCCTTTGCTGGGAGAAATTCAGCCCGTCTGTAGACATATCGATGACTCAATATTCCAAAGAGTGCCCTCTAGAAATACAAACTTATTTCTTTCGATTACTAGAAAGATATAAAGGTTATAAGGTCATTTACACCGACGCCTCTAAAGCAGAAAACAACATTGGTTGCGCTGTCCATACAACCGATAACCAGCTACTATTCAACATACCAAGAGAGAGCTCCATATTCAGTGGAGAAGCGATTGGAATAATGAAGGCCCTTTATTGGATATCGAATTCCAAAGATAGAAAATGGATCATAACAACCGACTCCAAAAGCGTTTTGGCGGCCTTAGATAACCCATGGCCTAACAACTCTCTCATTAGAGAAATAATAAACGTATTGTGGGAGATGAGAAAAAGATCAGTATGTGTGGTCTTTATCTGGGTTCCATCCCATAGTGGCATAATGGGTAATGAAAAAGCAGACCAAGCTGCTCATTTGGCGAGAAAGGGAGAGCTATCAGGCATAACAACAATAAATCACATCACCGTTGAAGATTGGATCCATGAAGCAAGAAAAAACCTATTTAAAAATTGGGAAGACCAATGGAAAATACAACGAGCCAAACTAGCCGAAATAAAAACCGAGTACAACACATGGACCATAAGCTTCAGAAAATCCAGAAGAGAAGAAATAATATTGTGCCGGATGCGAATCGGACAGTATCTTTTCACACATGGATACCTACTTAAAGGACTCGAAGCGCCAATCTGCGAAAACTGTGACAATACACCTCAAACAGTTAAACATCTACTATTAGAGTGCCCCCAATATAAAAAAAAGAGACAACAATTAAAGTTATCGACAACATTGAAAGATATTTTGGGAGAAAAGGAGGAAAATATCGTCATTCTCTTTCAATATTTATTGGAAACAAATTACTATAGTAAAATATAAAAATTGAGAAAAACCGCCAATGACCCTCTAGGGTAGAGGCGAATACAAATAAAAAAAAAAAAATACCTAAAGTTATTTTTTAGAACTTTAGAGCTATTAAATTCGTGTTATGTTTATAATTTGGCCAGTATAGACAATTAGGTTTATTTAGTCAAAAACTGGATCGATAGTAATTCGCATAAATAAAAATTAACGGTAGTTTCTAAATTCAACGTTCCCTCGTGTTAAATCCTCAATAACCTCCGGGGTGGCCGGATGGGGCAAGGTCTGAAAACTGCTTTTAGAAGTTCAAACCTTTGTTAATTATAGAATCTATCTAGTTTTTCGAGCGATTTGCGAAATTGACCAAATTGCTTACAATTTTCTATAACGTCGTAACAACTATGTTTATTTATAAAAATCGATATTTCAACTGTCTTAGGATTCACTAGTAGTACCTAATTCTGCACAGTAAATACCGTTAGGTTTGAACAAAAAAAAAAAAAAACAGTTCTAAAGATAAAAAAGATGGTTTTCATTTCTTTTCCTGTTATCTCACATCAGAACATTATTAATGCTATAATAAGTTTTAAATAAGTTAAAAATTGCTGGACACGGCGGGGAAACAATATTTGTTTGTCATAAATGCAGTCAAAGTTCAAAATTTTGATTTTTGTTTTTTTGTTCCAATGTCCAACAGTTGCATTAGCTCGTCCCAGTCTGCGTCGCAGTAAATTACACTACTTATCAAGGTTGTCCGTATACGTTGAATTTATAAATATTCATCCGTTCAATTAGTATGTCACTCTCCGATTTAACTTATAGTTAACCATTATGGTCCTCGATAAACGACAATAGTCATTGAAATCATTCAGAAGAAATAGGTACAGTTAGTTTTTGTTTGAGACATCGCATACATAAAACAAAAGCTGGAACAGATTGAAATGAAATATGCTCCAGTTTTCTATCTATCGATTCTCAGCTCGTGGATGGGTCCGATTCTCGATATCATGGATAGAACACGTTTCAGAAAAGTTGTTGATATGTTCGATTTTAGAAAGTTAGTTTGATTATTCTGTCACTGACCGGATTCACTTGCAATCAACCTCTAGATGATTACGGTCTAAGTATGTTACTGTATATCACGTCTTCACACGGTTGATTTAACAAAAATTTCGGGCCCACTACCGCTGGCCTCCACAGTTCGAGTTCTAATATCTTATAGTAAACAAAAGATTACATCAGAACATCACACGTCGTAAATCAGGATTTTGTTATCTATTAAAAGGTTCTGTTAGTAATACATAGTAGTCTATAATGCGAGACATACTGTGCCTAAGAATAACTGAATTTCACAGAGTAGATCTACAGTTAAAGAACTGTGGAACTAAGGAGTTGTATTTTTAAAAAGAAATTTAACAACTATAGATCAAACATAAATAAACATAATTTAAATTGGCTAAAAATAATTGTTTGTTGGATAAATAGATATTTCTGTATGGTTACTGTCGATTACTTGTCTGTGAGGAAAAAAAATACACGGCGAAGAAATATGGAGAGGAAACAGAACTAAGTAAGAAATTCCAGGAAAAACTAGGACATATATTTTGAGATTTATAATACGAAAGCAAGTAGTCCTGAGAGACTACTTGGGATCTTGTGGTCTCAAAACGAGCTGGTGGAAAGGAATTTATTTTCTTAAATTCATCAATGTTTAATTAAAGAGTTAAATATATAAATAATAATGAATTAAACTCTGGATGTATTTTTTTTTTAGGAACATTCTATTTCTAATATTCCAAATAATAAATATAAAAAAGAATATTTCTGATTGCTCTACGTCATCGCTTGGAGAGCTTATTACTCCAGAAAGACTTACCTCTATTGGCCAGCAATAGCCTGAGGGCGGCCTGGAGATCTTGTAAGAGATCGACAAGCTCTGAAGGTATCCTGGACAACTGGAACGACGGCCTGATCCACTCTGTCTGGAACATGGAAGCATATATCTAGATAGTTACCGTGAGGTACCTGAAATCTTAAAATGTAATAGAAATAAAGATTCTGATTGCCTGAATATTTCTCTACACCAACGGTGCCCACAAGAGGATTTTATGTCGCAAGTTGCGCCATCAAAATTAATAAGGGGGCACTTTTTAACAGGAAATTCAATTTTTGTTGAGAGCAAATTTCGATGGGGTTGTGAATTTTCAAAATGAAAGGTTCCAAATCAAAAGACAAGTGAAATCATGAAATAGACCACAGTTTGTATAAAGGTATATAATCTACGAATGTTCAAATTGTACGTTTGTTTCCAATATTTTTAAGAAGAAGATAGGCAGAAAATATCTTGGGAGGGATATCGGAAGATTTATGCGCCATCGGCCTTGGGGGGGATGGGCATACCTGATCTACACCACTAGTTTCAGTAATAAAATGAAATATAATATTTTTTTATAATTTGCAAATTATTCAATGTTAACACTCATTCAGGTGATGTATGTCGTTACGGTGAAGATAAAATATAGGTAGCAAATAGCAGCATTTGGCGGTGAAATTGTTTTATTTGTTCCTTCGAATAAATCTCATACTTTTACGCTAACGGATAATTTGTTGTTGGTGAGACATGATTTAGGCACAATGTAGCATTTAAAAATGGAAATGCGTTGAACATTTTGTAGATTTGTACTGATTATTGGATAATTATCAGCTGCGCAGCCACATGACCGGAATATGAAATTTAAATAAGTACGAGTTCGCGTCTCGGTGCCAGAGGGGATTTTAAATTAACCTGCCATCACCCTCCCGTACAGCGTAAACGGCTGTCTAGAAGTGTAGAAGCTGTCTAGAAATGAACATCCTAAAAACATTTAAAATTATTAACATATGAGTTACTTGCTTAAAAGAATTAAATCAAATGTTCGGACTGTAATTAATAAGACTATATAGAATTCAATACAAATGAAATATAATATAAACAATTAATATATACACTTAAAGCGATTCACAACAAACAGCAGGGCATCCAATTTTTTATATTTAATTTTTTTTTCTGCAAGCATTGTAGGTCATGTAGATCTTTTGTACCACGATGAGATCATTTGTGAACCACTCAAAATTTTAAAGTTTAATCCGAAAAGAACATACTTTTATGAAAACATTGAATGAATATTCATGTTTTGATGCTACATGAAAATAAGAATATTTACGGTCAGATTGGGGTTCTATGAGAGAGACAGTTTCGAACGTATTTTACCAGGAACAAAATAATATTTGAAATACTAATTTTTACACGGAAGCAGGTTTAATCAAGTCTTGTAAATTTGACTAATATCAGTTTAATATTAATATTAAAGTATGAACATAATGGGTATGCAAAGATAGCCAAGACAACATGCGGAATGCCTTAAAAAAAATGTAAGGATAAAAATAACCAGATGTATTAACTTTCTTATAAAATACACAGCGATTTAAATAGAATCCTAAGTTCGTCTTTGAACTATCTAATTGATAATATTTTCCCCACAAATACTTCTAATTATTCCTGTGCCTATTTTGAAATGAAAATAAATAAATTTATATTTCCTTGCTGATTAACATTAAAATGATAAATTTGTTTACCTTGGTGATTTTATCACTACGACCTATCTTAACCATATTTTTTGATAATCTAATAAAAATGTATCTGTTTATTTTACAAAGATTTCTATCGTTTGGAGGTTCATTAACATACGGTTTTTGTTATAAAAAATCCAATAAAAATTATTGTTAGTTCACATAGTATATAATGTAAAGTATAATATAACAGTTAGTTAGATTATTAGGTTCTACTGACGGGTATACGGTGGAGAGAACTGTCCTCCAGTAGCCTCCTCAATTCTAGATCTCTCTCACGCACAGCCAGTTCAAGCCTGTCAGCCTAAAAACAAGGTAAACATATTTTTGATCATAATGTAATATTCATACTTAGAAGAACACGATAATTTTGGCCACACGACCTCTATTAAAAAAGTCAAATAAATATAAAATGTAGTATTAGAAATGTAGAAAGATAAAATGTAGAAAGAAGTTAAATAATACAGAACTTTTAAATGCAATATCATTGTCAAAGCTGTATATTTTTTTAGTAATACACAAAGTAGATTAGTATAGGATTCAAAGTAATATGAATTTTTAATTTCAATTTTTCAAAGTACGTTTCAGTTGTTTGTTTATTTATAAGGGTCAACTTGATGTATCTTTTTATTCCAAATTTATTACGCTAGCCAAAATTGAGCATGCCACATTGCAAGAATGAAGAATATGATGATCTTTAAGAAGACCATCACCTATGAAATCCATGGTAAAAAAAAAAAGTGGGATCAACATGAGGTGGATGGATGCTGTTTCAGTTGATGCAATACCATACATAAGAATCGAAACTGCAGAACTGCTGCGCAGGATCAGCTGACAGAGACTTTAACTAGTTGCTGCGCCAGACTATTATAATAATTCTTATTCTTTAATTTAAGTTTCAACATCAAATCATACAATGATTCCATCTAACAAATATATATTCTCAATTTTCCTTTATACATACATTCGTTAAATCAGAGATTAACTGAAGAAGCACTATGAATTAATCGACGGTTTGCATTATGAAAAATATTTAATATTTTAATCGAAATGGAGACTCCAAAAAAAATCAGTAATTATTGATTCGAAAAGTTTGAGGTTCGTTTAGATTTAAAACAAGGTGATTTCCTTTTGCCTGTCTTGTTCAATTTGGCCTTAGAATTAATTTGTTATTTTTCTGTGACAAAATTACTTATCTTGCATCTCCTGTCCCGAAACTTAAAAATTAGAATCTTTAAAACCGTTTTCCTACGTACGGTTCTTTATAGATGCAAAACGTGAGCCCCTTACATAAAGGAACGAGCAACGTCTTAAGGTTTTTGAAAATAAAGTATTGCATGGAATATTCGGACCGAAGAAGGATGAGTTAACCGGAAGATTGCACAACGCCGAATTAAACAGTATCTGGTTAATCAAATTGGCTAGTAAAATTGTTATGCTTCATAACGAAAGAATTCCTGAAAGGTTAATATTTGCTGTACAGAGTGGTAAACATCCGAGGGATAGACCAAAGCGAAGGTGTGAGATGTTTAAATGAGCGATTGGTGGTGTCGGTTCGCTAAGGTTCGCCAAGCGTTTTATTATTATCACTTATTATTATTATGCATTATGAAAATTATGACGTTGTCACGGACTGATGACGTTCTCATTACTGGTCGTACACCTGCATCCTTAAAAGGAGCTTTTGCGAAATGTGAGCATGCCTCAAAAATAGCAGGACTCAATTTTAATGAAACCAAAACTAAATATATGAAGACCTCCCGTGGTGATTGTGGTGCAAGGAATGGTCTTAGAACTGGAGAATACTTTTTCGAGCAGGTACAAAAGCTTAAATAAACGTATGGGCCAATGTAAACGAAAAGAATGACATACAGGCAGAAATAATGGCCGGAAATAGATGTTGCTGGACGTTCGGAAAAGTACTTAGGTTAAAGGTGTTGCCCTGGCAGTTAAAGAATGCCGTATATGTCAGCGTTATTAGACCAGTGGTGACATATGGAAGTGAGACATAGGTCCTCACCAGGAAGTCAGAGCAAGTACTGAACGTGTGGGAGAGGAATGTCCTGAGAAGGATTTGTGCCCCCTTGAGGGAGGGAGATCGGTGGAGGCAGAGGAACAATCAGGAGCTCCGTGATCTATACAAGGCCCCGGATCTGCATCAAGATGAGTAGAATTAGGTGGCTGGGGCATTTGTAGATGATGGAAGATCGGCGTATCCCGAAGAAGCTTCTGGACGTACACTCTGGTGGAGTACGAAGAAGAGGGCGTCCCAGATTGCGGTGGCTGGAGGACCTGAGGACACTTGGAGTCCGAAGGAGGGGAAGAGCGGCTTTGGACAGGGACGAATGGCAGAGAATCGTGGAGGAGGTCAGGGTTCTGCAGGGACCGTAGTGCCATCGATAGAAGATGAAAATTAACAATGCATTATGATGTAGAAACTGAAAGTAGCTGACCAGAAGGCACTAAGGATTTTAGAAAGAAAAACCATGAAACGAATTTTTGGCCACGGGGAGTGGATGATAAGGACAAATCAGGAGCTGGATGAACTATTGAAGCACGAGGATATTGTACGCTTTATTAAAGCTAGAAGAATTAGTTGGCTAGGACACGTGGAATGACTGCCAGATGACAAAGCAACGAAAAAGATACTTAGAGAGGAATTTCCTGGAAATTACCGGAAGGAAAAAGAGGACGACCGAGAAAATGCTGGAGAGGTGACGTGGAAGAGGATTTAAGGAGAATGGGAATGGTAAATTGGAGGATAAGAATCAAAGATAGAGAGGATTGGAAAAAGATCGTAAAGGAGGCCAAGGTCCTTGGACTGTAGAGCCCGTCAGTAAGTATGTATTATGATATAGAAAAGAAAGTTTGATATATTTAAATATATTGGTCGAGAGGAAATATCTAAACGTTCCCTTAAAAATCACTTAGTTTAAATAAGTAAGGTGCACAAAAAGTGAAATAAACTATTAACTGTTCTTCTTATTTCTGAACAAGGGAGTACTTGAGCAAATGATAGTCGCAGTATATTATGAAGAACCATTCAGATCAGAGACAACTGTACAGTTTTAAAGTGCAAATGTTTAAGCCAATATTATTAGTTTAATTAAAATTCAAATAAGAAATCTAAAATATGTTAGTTACCAAATCCAAGAGACTGGATAACGAGGTCTCAATGACGGTGATCGGGTCCAGTTCTTCTCCTTCCTCCTCTGGCTCCTTGAAGCGATCCCATTCGTTCGGCTCCGTCCCAGCGAATACCTATCGTTTAGAAATCGTTCACTAACAAGTAATCTTTATTGGGGAACCTAGACTGTCAATTAGGATGTATATTTCGTTTTAAAAGTTATAAAACAAAAAAAAAGGGATCAAGAGGTTGGTGAGACATTTATAGTCTTCATATCACCAAGACAGTATTTATTTAAAAGATTCTGAAAACTCTATTTTTATGAAAGAGATAGAGCGGCATCACTGCATCCCGCACAGAACAGAATTATTTTATAGAAATCTATAGGACTGGGCTACAAAAATAAAAATAATACTAAGCGCCATAATATTTATTTTCGCAGAATATCATCGTTCATTTATTCATTTAACCTCTACTATAATCCAAATAGGGCAGAAGGGACATATATCCTACTGGTCACCAACCCATCATAGCCAGAGTGGGAAGCCATGAATCCGCCACGAAATAAATTTCATATTTGAACCGGCGCCATTTCTGACTGGAAACCGCTAATGTTTACCAGATTAACTCTTGTATAAAAATATTTTACCTATTAAGTAAAAACCATAAATATGATAGGCACTAATATGTAAATTATATTTATTTCGATGTGTAGTCTTTTGAAAAATTAAAATTAAAACTGGTCATTGGTTCATGAGCATATCCAGGATGGAGCAAGGTTCACAGTTGCCGCTCACAATTCTAAGATGGGAATAATTCAAAATAAAATGCTAAAAAATATGAAGAAAAATTGTTTGAAAGTAACAAGAGGTTGGATAATGCTACAACGTTTTGAAAAAAACTAATTATGAAATAAATATCAATTCTTCTGCTCCCTAAATGAATTACACCTTTTAAATGATATGAAATTTAATGATTAAGTTCCTTTATATTAATCTGGCTTTTAGACAAATATTATTCTAATGTTTTAAATAAAAATTGAAGTGTTCAGCACTTTTAATCAACCAGTTAGTCCAATGAAAAGTATTTACTTAATAGAGGCTGGATCCGGGACAAAATCAGAGCTACTTTTAAGCTTGCTAAGTGATTATAATTAATAAACAAGTTATTGTGGGTTAAAAAAAATTAAAAATAAAGATTAATTTAATATTTATTTCTATTTGTTTATTAGTTCTCACCTGTTCGTATGACCCGCCAGCAGGTGGGCTGTCGCCCTCTACATCGGAACCACCTTCGCTGTTGGTACTACTGCCCTCTCTGCTATCCACTTCTAGCCCTGATACAAAGTATAATTATTCCATTTTAATGAAGTTCTGCCGTTACAATATAAAACAATGCTAAAAAATTATTAGTTACCTCCACCAGTGTGAAATGATTTGGAAACATCCTGGATTTGACCTTCCAAGTCAATCATGTCGTTTTCTAGTTGTCTGAAATTCGAAACGAAACAGTTTTTAAAACTTATTAATTATATTATTAAGCGTTGGTAAAGGCCGACGAAGTTCAGCAAGTTGAAATAGGCCCATACAAATTTAAAAGAGTACAGGAGTTTACCTACCTCGGATCTCTCGTAAAGTCGACCAATGACATGTCGAAGGAAATAGGAAAGAGGATAGTGGCAGCCGACCGTTGCTATTTTGGCTTAAAAAGACACATCAAGGGCCAATTACTTATAAGGCCAGAATATACAAAACTTTGATTGGGCCGGTGTTGACCTACGCCTCACAAACATGTTCGATGAAAAAAGCTGATGTATATTCATATATAGCCTTGTCATATTCGAACGGAAAATTTTATCGATGGATCTCTGAAAGAAGAAGAAGTTTGGAGAAGACAAAGAAACCGAGATTTAATGACTTCTGTATAATGACTTAAATATAGTCGACTTCATAAAACTTGGAAGGTTAAGTTGGGCCGGCCATGTGATTCGGATGGAGGATGGCGATATTCCCAGAAGAATTGTTGAGGATAGGCCAGGAGGCAGAGAGGCAGACCCAGGATAAGATGGATAGTTGGCGTGCCGGCTGGCTCCAGGATACTATTATGGAAGGCAGTGGCAATGGATCGAGCTGGATGGCGGAAGCTCCTAGAGGAGACAAAAACCCACTTCCGTGTTGTAGTTCCGACGAGATAGAGACTAAGTGGTTCGTTAATGAAATGCAGAACAAAGCAAAAACAAAAATAAGGCAATGGAGGAAAACATCGCTGCAATGCACACTCATAGTTTTTCCCTTTCTCGACTACATAGCGGTATTTCTATTGGAATAAGTACAAACAGCGGGTCTTTTGTTCGATTTTGGATCCTCATTTGGGTATCTGAAGGTTGTCCTGTACAGGACAGAATTTATTTATCTTGCTTTACTCCAGTTGCTGATTCGAGTGTTAAGTTAGTCTGGTATTTAAGTCAACCACAATATTATCACAATCATTCTGGAATGACAACTATGTAGCCAGAACTAGTTTTGGATTCTGTTTATTTTACAAGCCACCTTTTAATTAATGATACGAAATAAGCATGCAATTTCTTTAGCAAATATTGAACTCAAATTACAAACATAAAACACTAACCTGCAAAGATCTCTCTCCTTCTTCAGTTTCTGCAATAGGCTGAGGTTCTCCTCTAGGAGCGGGTAACTTGAGTTAACAACTCTCTTCAGATCTTCCCTAAATAATAAGTGTTGGATTAATTCCCCAATTTTATTCTATTGTTATATAGTTTGTATATAATGAGTACAGATCTAATAGCGGTAAATATTTTTACAATATGGCCCGTATTCATTAATCATCAGAATTCAATTTTTTATTTTAACCTTTCATTTAATAACCTTTCAAGTTCAAATAATTAATTTTATTTCTTCACGAAACATAATTACTTTTAATTATTGACAAGACAGCTTTAAATTCCTTAAAAGGAATAAAAAGAAACTTAGTTTATGAAGTCAATACAAAGCAGCCTACTGGTGGCCTATAGCAGAGGACCAACTTGGACGTAAACCTTGTTGTTGATCATTTCATCGGTTATTGCAACAGACGAAACGAAAAGATTGAAAGGATGACACTGAAGTTGTCAACATCGTTTCCGAGAACGAAACTAATGTGAGATAATTTCAAAAGTATTTTTTTCTCTTTATTTTTGCTTCCAGACTACCTAAGGTATGGAAGATTTGTATACCTGCAGGAGGTTACTCTGTGCTCAGCATTGAAAATTTCCACTTATGTTTTAAGTTTTAGAGATGAAGGAACAACATTGGCTTCATGTTCGTTTATAAGTTGATACTAAGTGCATATATACTACGATGAGACTCAAGCTTTAAGGAAAGTTGAAGAATATTGAAATAATGGTTGCATAAGAATTTTATTTCATTCATGCTCTACTTCCTCTTACATATGTGCAAACGTATTTTTCTTGATAACAGTGTGTCTCTATAACAGCTAGTTTAATTTGGTCCAAAGTTGGAGAAAAGTTAAGCAGACCCTACACGGTAATTCATGAATGAACGTCACAAGAAGTTCCAAGATTGCCCGCTATCGCTTTGATCATGAAGACCCTTACACGTTAAATCATTACTGATCATTACTTATCGTTGCTGATTTAGGTTAGATCGTTGCTGACCAATTTAGCGCAGTTGTAAACAAAGAAACAGCATAGATATGCTTATTTAGACATTGTCATTTATAATATTGGGCATCAAGAGAAAAACGGAGATATAATAATTACTTCCTAGTGCCTGAAAATCGTTTAGACCAAAGTTAGTCCAAAATATAAGTCAGATACATACAAAAATCTATGAAAAGTATTGCGAAAATAATCAATTTGTTAAGTAAAATGGAAAAATTAATGACAAATAAACACAACAGTTAAAGATTTTTTTTCTATAAGTAAATTGTGAAGTTTCCACTCTTTCTCTTCAATTTATTGCCTACTAGACTACTTTAAAAAAAAAAAGTTGAAAATGGTTAATAATAATATAGACTAGGGATATAAACAACTATTTACTTAATAACGAGACCTAGGTAAACTAACTCTATCTGGTTGTAGTCTCATAGGAGGTTAGCCTCATAGAAAATCGTTTTGACAAAAGTTAGTAAAATATAAGTCTACTACTTACAAAAATTAAGGATAGGTATTGCGAAAATAATAAATTTATTGAGGAAAATGGGAAAAGAACTGATAAATATACACAACGATAAAGTTGTTTTTTTTCCTAAAGTAAATTGTGAAGTTTCCTCATTTTTTTTTTTAATTTGTTGCCCACTTGACTATTTAAAAGAAATAGTTGAAGATGGTTTAAAATTATATAACTATTTACATATAATGAAAATCAGAAATTTATAACGGTAGTGAGGCCTAGGTAACCTAACCTATCCAGCAGTATGGTTAGTCTCCCCACTACTTTTACCTCAGTCCCCCCTCCACTTCTCGTGAATGAACCTTTGATTTCCGGATGTTCGGAAATCCGCAGCGCACCACCATCAGTACTTCATTCACTACCTTACACGACAATTCGGAACGTCATTAGTGCAATTCCGATTGGTCGTGTAGGGTCCCCTTTAGAGATTGGTGAAAAAATGATCAAGTAGATATTCATTTTATCAAATTCAGTCCAAAGCTTTTCAAAAATTTTGATGACAACAGGATGAGCAAATACATTTTCCTGGTCTATATTTCAAAAGGCTCAATCGGGTTACACTCAGGTTGGAAGAAACTTGGGAAGTAGTTTAAAAATATCATTAAATTTTATTTAGAAAATAATATTAATGTATCCCATTGTTAAGAACGTAATAACTATGGTAGGTAGTTAACATGTGGAAAGGAGGGTTATTTTATACTACAGTTATAAGAATTTAAACTGTACTCATAAATTTAATTTAAACGTTATTCTGTAGCTATGCCAGCACTTAAGGCGGAAATACCACCTACTTTCGTTAATCCGATTTGATGAAATTTTCATGGATTGTCATATATAGCAGGTCCGATATCGATTTTATGAAAATTCGTGAACTGCTCATCGATTCGTAGTGCAAACGATCGTTCTTCTTGGCAATACATATTACAAAAAAAAAAAACAGATTCTCTTGTATATTTTATTCCTAAACGGTAACCCATCGACCTTGAAATATAGATAGTCATGTAACCAACCAAAATTGTGAGAAAGTTATACTGTCCATACTTGGTAGACTGCTTTTGTTTTGTTTTTAAAGATGGTCAAGAACTAGAGCTCGAAATAAATAAAAATTAGGCAAAATTTACTGCATGGGAAAGGGAGGCGTTTTCGTTTATTGGTATAGAAGAAGAATTAATTTTGATTAGATAGCAAAATTTAGTATGAATAAAAGTAGAAAATTTTGTTTTTCAGCTGTCAGATTACTTACGTAGGGCGTTCATCCCAGAACTATATAAGTTACAAAACTACCATTGCTCTCTACTGTTCTTTAAAGGATGGGAAACGTGGCCTATAACATTAGATAAAGAGCAACTACTTGATGTTTTTAATCGGAAAATTCAGACGACTGCACAATTTGGAATTGCTTTACCCGGTAATTAAGAAGATAGCATTAGTCCAAATAATGTAGACACATAAATTTATTTTGAAGAAGCGAACATTTGGATTCGCTTACCTTTTATTCACATTTTTTTAATTTATTTATGGTGTAAGCCAATAATGGGGATCAGCTCTACCAAATACTCATGTATTTGTCGAGAAGTTATCTTTTACCTTAATAATAACAAGTGTGATTAGAAAGTGATTCAATGGTGCCATAACTTGTAGAAATGTAGGGACATTTAAAACAAAATATCAATAACGAAATAACTGCCAAAAAAAGTTGAGGTAAACCTGCAAATACAACCTAAATACCATCGCCAACAACCAAATTGGCTAAACTCCAAAATCATTATTATTTATTGCCGCATAGTTAATTTTGGTTTATTATTTTCAATAATGAACCATTGTGATCGATCGAAAAATTGAAAAACTTAACCCTCTCTCAAAATTTGAGTTTTACGTTTCAGGAAACGTAGCATTCGAAAGACGAATTCAATTTCTTTCGTCCGTCTGCCTTCTGCCCGTTTTCTCAAGATGGCGGCCGAAAAACATACATAGACTGTAGCGCCTAAACGAATGTACCGATTTCAATGAAACTTAGCTCTTCTCGATGCCCTTTAAATTTATCCATATAACATACTTCAACGAAAAGAAGTTGAAAAAAAAGTTACGAGGGATAGTAAAATTAGATTCCAAATAACTCAAAAAGTATAAACTTTTTTGTTGATATTTTGGTAAGATGTTTCAAAGGTATTTCAATTTCCTAAAAAATTAAGAAGGTTTCATCGAAATCAGAGCACTATTAGTAAGGATATCGCGATAGCTATTTAAAAGTTTACAAAATTTCATAAACAACAAAAAAATAATCGTTAAAATCAGACAATTAGGAGCAAAGATATTATCTCTAGATGTTTTTTAATGTTGTACTGAAAAGGTTATATCCTTTGTTTTGGTTTTTTACTTTTCAATATGTCACTGAAATAATACTATTTTTTTTAGCAAATTACTAATGATGAAAAAAAGATCGATTAGGCCAATAATTGAAATCACCTTTTATTTATTTTTATTTTTCACTCGGAAGGTAATTGTTTGGAAATAATAAACCATTGTGGAACAATTCGCAGGGTTTTTCCACTAGCATTTAGCCTGTTATTGATTTACAGTCTTCATAACTTTTGAATAAATAATTTTTCATTAATTATAAATATGCAATTATTAAAAAATAAATATAAATCAAACTAGCATTATAGGAAATTTGACTGGCAAAGCAATATTTGTTGAGTTCATTTGTTTGCTATTAAGTAAACTGTATACTTATATTTCGTACATAAGGGTCTGCATGGTTAAAATATTAGCATAAAACTCGATAAAAAAAAACAATAAATATAACTTAAAAAATGAAATAAATAAATATTGTCGTTTGCCCAATTCATGTGAAGATGAAACCAAATATTACAAATTCTTATTGAAATGCGGAATAGTTTTTTCGCATCGATAAAATGAATTGTAATAAACTATGACTTAATGAAAAAACGCCTTTATCAGCATATTTATATACGATGCTTGAGATGGATATTTGCATCGTCAGCATTTGTTTCTTGGATTTTCTTTATTTCCTTTTTTATCATTAAAGATTTGTGCGATTTTTTTTTAATATTATATTTAGAGAGCAGTTTCAAAAGGACTAATAAATATTTGTTCTCATTCTTATAATCAAATATACCTAAAGTTATTAAGGATATGCCGTAACTGGCAACACCAACAAACATTTTTGTACGTGGAATAGTTTACCTGTCAGGTAAGTGTAAAGATCTTCGAAAAGTTGAAGAAAATGATGCTGCTTCTGATGACTGACTTGGATTGCTGGGGCAATATCTGTCTATGACACAATATTTACAGTTAATTATAAAAATATTTTTAAAATAAAATTCATATTAAAACGAATATTGTTTGCTAAATTTAAATCTAAACTAAGAAATGAGAAGATTGGAATAATAAACAAACAGCATGTAAAATCAATTATTCAGTCAAACTTGAGTATCTTGATATATTACACAAAAAAAATTAAATTAAATAAAAACGCACATGTAAAATAAGGTGCACGGTAAAACATAACCTTATTACTAGAAATTCACAAGTAACCGCACGTGGTTTGTCAACATAGTTATGTTTTCATTTTGAGAAATTGCAAATCATTAGAATATAGTTAATAATTAATTTTTCAGTCTATATTTCATTAAGTCAATAATACACCGACAACGTTTTTACATTCAATTCATATTTTGGAATGACGTTTCATTTGATCGAACCATTTTCAAATCTGAAAACAAATTTTTCATATTAATGTTATTTAGAATATTTTTTGTTAATTTTTCTGGATTAATTATTTGTAGAATCATTTCTATCAATAAGAACACTCATATATGTTTAAATATAAAACTTATATTTACGTATCATGTCCTAGTTTATTGCATTTCTTATGTAAAAACAAGGACATGATAAGTAAATATAAATTTTTTATTTCAACATATATGAGATTTCGAATTATAATTATGCAAGAAAAATTAACAAAAAATATTGTAAATAACTGTAATATGGACAATTTGTTGTGAGACTTCAAAATGGCTCGATGAGCCAAAACGTCGTCATTTCAAAATAAAGATTAGAAATAAAAACATTATTGATATCCTATCGGCTTAATGCAACATAAACTGAAATATTACTATAAGACACCGAAATAAAAGAAATTTGTTAGTAATCAATTGTTTTTAAATAGTGACATTGATGAAAAGTGTATTAAAAATTCGTCTTAGGTAAATTTAAATATTTACTTATATGAATATTTTAATAAGTCTTTTATATATTGAACCTTATTTAATATTTTAACCGTAAATTTTGGCCGTTCAGTGATTGGGTGTATGATACAAATAAAACAGCGTATTTTGGAATTTTTATGGATTTTAGTGACTTCAAAAACACTAAAAATTATAGGTAACTTTGCCCACTTTGGGAAATTTTTTTTTAATCAATGTTTGAATACCAGTTATTCTGAAACGTAAAACTTAAATTCTGATCGGTAATTGTTATAATTTCTTAGTCGATTAAAAACATTTCATTATCTCAAGTAATAATTCCAAACTCCAAACAGCATTTAGATGTTTAAAAAACTTTACCACCTTTGAAACTAAACAGATTTGTTAGTTACTTATTTAATGTATTGATTTACCTGTTTGGCAAACAAAATCAGCTTCCTCCCCACGCCACTCAGTACCACTCGTTTCATCCTTATACCTGTTACACAATTAGAAACATTGATAAATTAAATATTAAATTGCAAAATTGATAATTATACGTATTGTGCCCAAGTGAAACAAACAGACACGATTCATGGTTTACACAGGTAAGGATTTTGTTTACAAAATATATTTGCTTGAAGAAAATTGACTCATCCATTCGCTAATATTTGTTTAGCTACTTTATAATAATTTAGAAATTGTTTCTCGAAAAAACAAATTAAAAACTGATTACATTGCTTTATTTTATATTCATTTATTCTATAGAACAATAATCAGTTCAGTTATTTTTCTCACTTAATAATGATACCTCCTTTTTTTTAACTTTACCGAATGCTTAAAGAATTTTATTAAATCATAAAATAGACGGCATAAGTATTAAATACAAGAGTATGACAAATTAAGAACTAGTTGTAAAATCTTTGGGGCTATTCGAAATTATCAAAAGGTAATCATAAAGCAATTTTCTTAGTTGTGACCAATAATATCAATACCTACTAGGTCTTTACTCACCCAGGTGTTTTTCGGTACCTCATCGATTGAGAACAGCCATTTTCTGGATACCTGCCTGAACAATTATAAATTTAAACTCATAATTAAATTATAATTTCTTCGAAAAGCGAAAAATGAGTAGCAGAATGTAGGTAATATTAGCTTACTCGGTTGAACCTGGTTCTCACATGTGGACTTGCTTCCCCTCACATGAGTGGTCCATCGCCTCTCCGCCTACAATCATGTACTAATTAAGCAAGTGATAACATTGTTTTTAATTTTTGTTTAAAAACATTAAAAATTTATTGAAATTCAATTTATTAATGTTGTTTTGTAGTTTTTCTCTTCAGCTGTAATATTTTTTAAAACATTTTCCATCAACATCAATCCTTTCTTTTTAAATATTCCTTTGAAATTATAATTTTGTTATGTATATTTTTCAGGAAACTAGATTTCTTGAGGATTTATGTAGACGACTTAATCTGTTGACAAATAAAATATTGTGAAAATGTAGTGATTAATTAATAGTAGCTCAAAATCAGCTATTTGTCTACTTTCTCATGTTTACGAGTTATTCTTATTATACCTAGATAAAGATAGAAAGATAGATGTGTAGATAGAAAAATAAATTTATTCTGGAACAAGGTCCTCTAATAATAACAATAATTGACAAATAAACAACGTATCTAGCCAAAAACTATATTAACAAAACTATATAAATGAAAACTTCAATGCAATTACAAATGAAAACTTCTCCAGAATAAATATAAATGTGATGAAAAATAAAATAATGAAAAATCTGAATAAAATATAAAAATAAGTGTTAATACATAAACAGAAGAAACTACTATATACTTCTTTAAAAATTTCATTGAATAATGACTGAAATAAGTATTCGGGATATTAGATGGCAAGGAATTCCAGAAGGCAACAAGGAGGGCAAGAAAGGAACGTTCGAAGGTTTTAGTTTTATGAAAGCGAATATAAAAGTCATAAGCCTGGGATCTTGTTTTCTGTGAGTGGACTGAGGATTTGAAATGTAGGAGACGGGTGATATAGAAATGTTTTTTATAGTTTGGTATAAGTACGATCTGAGAAAGTATTGACGGCGAAAGAAGAAAAATACAAGTTGTAGATCGTCTGGAAGTACCAAAGTCAAATATTAATAGACCTTTGAACTTCCTCCAATGATAAATTTTGAATCTTATTAATCATGTGATTTTTTTATTTTTCTTGTATAAAAACGGATAAAAAAGACGGTATTAGAAAGAGGAATATGTATGAAAATAGCATGGGTTTCAAGAATATTACATATTCTTTATAATTTATCCTCTGCTTTGCAACAATCCCTTGGCCAAGGTAAGATAATATCTCTCATGTGAAACTGTACATATGATGAGCTGGTTTTTGCTGAGGTCTTTTTTTTTCATATGCAATGCCATGCATCCTGATTATGTGCCACTTCCATCTAGTTTCGCACGTTCAAGTATTCTCTTGCACTAATGAGGACACAACAATCTACCCATTTTGTTCGTGTATTTACATTTAATAGGATTTCAAGAATCAAATATAAACCATTTTATATATTTTCTTTCTTTTTATTACAAAGTAATTATCGTTATATATATATATAAAAGCTTTCGGGCTGAAGCCCCTCGTAAATTAAATCCTGGATCCGTTAGTGTCCAGGACAGCACTTTTTTTCGATATGTTGCCTAATAAGCCGATGTAAAAGTATCTGATCCATCTTCTCAGAGTACTCAAGATGGATTTATATTACTTTAAGCTTCTAATATGTACCTTTTAGTGTTGCCCAAAATTGCTCCTGAAAGATCAAAACCAATATGTAAAAAAAAAATTCGATTTTTTAAAATAAAAATTAAGGCAAAATAGTTATTAATAGTTGACATTTTTAGATACTATACGTAAAGACTTGGTATAACCAATATACTTTTGTAGTTAACTCTTTTAATTTTTCTTTCAGGCTTCGTTAGGTTTCTCCTACCTATAATATAAGAGTAATATCTCTAGAGTAATAAGTTAATAGGCAACTGCAAGACTGTTGGGAGACTCTTGCGCAAGACCAAGACTAAGTACGCAAGACCAAAACTCGTCTTTTTCTCGCATTTGGGCAACACTAGTGCCTCTCGCTGTTTTTGCGCTCTTTGATGTGTGTCGAGATTAAGATCTATGAGTAAGTAAATGTAAAATAATCATGTTTTCTCAAAACTTACCTTGTTTTGGTCTGTATAATAAAAAGTCCTCCAGTCTCCTTCCAGTGACTTCCATTTCCTCAACGGCTCTCCAGGACAGCTCTTCGTACTGGACAGTTCTTCCCTTCTCAGCACTGGCCTCTGTGGGTTTCCTGTAACAGCAGAGGAGTCTTTAATAATTACCAATGATACAATATTAATCACTTATAAAATATAACAGTGTGTTCTAACTTATTATCATAGAAATAGCAACAAATCTATCGGCAACCAATCGATATCTTCTTACCTGATTATTCGTAGAAATCAAAATTAACTTCGTTCACAACTTGCGTGTCTTGTGAATTCTTGACAATGTATTCTAAACAACCATCATACTGATAAAAAAAATCTTCAATGTTTAATATTCCATTCTCTCAAAATGTGCCTATGTGGAAAATATTCCATGAAAATGACGCATCCTTGAATTGCTTCACAGAAGGGTTCATTATATTTAGCAAGTTTGTCACCTGATCTATACTGTAAATATCATCATTCTTATTTTATAACTACTTAATTAAAAAAATGAAAGATATGTTTTATTATTTATTCCGACATATTAGGTACTGTAAAGTCATCTAACTAACAAAAATTCGATAACTGAAATTGTTTATAAAATTTATTTAATTAGTTTATTTTACAGATAAAGTTCCAATAATAAAACTTTCTCACTGATTTTATGGTTAAACAATATAGCTCCTTTAAATAAACTCAAACATATTTTTTTTAAATATTAATATTAAGCATTAATTTGAAACATTATGTATGACATGAAAATTTATGAGTATAATATTTTGGAAATATTGAATTTAGAATGACAAAATTTAATGTTTAATCTTGTTAATGTCTTGTCATTTCTTAACAAAGAAGACATAAGTTTTTAAACAAAATCTAGCCAAGAAAATTATATTTTCTTATATAATTATTTAAAATATATATTATTATTATTTAAAATTATATTATAATTATTATAAATATATATTATAATTATTTAAAATATAATTATTATAAATTATAATTATGTTTTGCCTAATTTTAAGCCGGTGTTTCATAAAAATAATTTACATAAATCTTTTTAATTATTAATTTATTACTCAACGGGTAATTATATATCTTTATTTTTTATTAAGAACTCTTCAGTATTTTTTAACAAGGTTTTTTTTATTACTGATTGATTTTTTTTTTTGTTAATTTACGAACAGAGAGCAATCTTATCATAAAGATTAAAACCTATTTCTTAATTCTGATTTTAGATAGAAATGTTTTTCATTGTTTTTACACAAATGTTATTCTTAAGGGACTTCGACTCTCTATAGTATTTTTTTTATTTTTTTTTTATCTATTCTGAAATAAATATAACATCATTAATAGTTAATTTTGTTTAGGAGTCTATGTAAAAATAATGATTGATTTCGTTGAAAATTATACAAAAATGATCATAAGAATACATTTTTTAAAATCTAAATATGAGCGTGTCTTTATACAATCTTATAACGTGATTTCATGTTTGACAAGGAATTTCAGTTAATTTGTTTTTTTACTTGTGGTTTAAAAAGCCTACTTTTTATTTTATATTTGTTTTCTTTACATGTTGATTATATTTATTTTCTTTCGTTACCATGGTGTATTTAAAGTAAATAATCATAATAATTAATTCCTTCAGACCATGTGACTTTTACAGAGCTATAATATTAAAAAATAACTAATAGAAAGAAAAACAATAATAATAATCGTTCAAACAAAGATGTCCCTAATGTAAATTATAAAAAAAAAAATCAACTGTAGAAACAAGAGCGTGATTCATGAAACTGAATCATAGCCATTCTCCATATAAAAAAATTATAATTAATAAGAAATAAATATATTTAAGTGTTTTAAAATGTTCCCAATAAATAGCTATCTTTAAGATCCAGGGTTTTGTCAAGTCTTAATTTCGAATAAAGGATAAGCAAAGCAATGAATTGTAGTTATTTTAATGCAATAGAAAAATATAGTTTATTTTATAGCTGTCTTAAAATAATTTAGATTTATTCGTTAAAAAAATAAATAAATAATCAGATCAATTATAGCAACCTAAAATCTCTATTTTTTTTTGTTTATGAAAAATCTCAAAACAATTTATTTTTCTAAAAATTACTATCTAAAAATATTTAAAATTACTTATCGATTATGACCACAATTTTAAAATATGAAAATACTCGTTTACTTTTTAATAATTGTTGACTTGTTTAATAAGTATGAGGTAGACTGATGAGTTGACTAAATTTCAATTAATATTTATCTTCTTTCATTTAATTAAAATTCATTGGGTAAACTGGATTGACGATGTACTACCATTTAAATATTGTTTTAAGAGTACTTTTATATAATAAGTTTATGTCAAAAATATATGAATTAATCTTTATACTAGACAAAATATGTTTACTAATGCATTTAAGTAATGTGTGTCAAGAACAGCTTCGTCTTGCAATTATGCAATGGACACTTGAAGAATCACTTATACTAGTTAAAATATAAAACTATAAGTTCCATTTTCATAGGGAAAAGATATTATTGCTTATTTAGTTATGACAATTATTGGGAAATTGGACTCACCGTGAGCTGGGTAGTCACCCGAGGCGTGAGGCACTGGGGACCCCATCAACTGCGTCCAAACATAGATGCCTCCTCTTGGAGGGCTGCCAAACCCCGCCTCACTCTTTTCTATTTAGATCGCTCTAGCCTATATCTTTTAATATCGATACCTCTTCGCCAAGAGGTTCGCCCAAAAAAACATTAAACAAAGAGATAAAGTTCATAACTAAAGCTTAGAACCAATAATCTATTGGGTTGTCACACATGTATGCTACAATTTTTTCGTTTTTCCGATCTTAAAGTCGATGGAGGATTAAAACGTTGTCCGTTGATAGTCAGCAAAATATTGATTTAAAATGTTTGTTCAATTTCAAAGTAGATTTCTGTATAGATTTCTGTGTCATTTAGTACCACACGCGATTTTCAAACGATCTGTTTTGATGAGTTCTAATTCTGTCATATCGCAGCCAAGACAATACTATGACCGGAATATTTATCAAGCTTTCGATGAAGGAAGTTCTCATGGAAGGACTATAAGTTGTTGGTTTTCTAAATTTTCTTCAGGAAATACGACGTTTGAGTCCTTTAGCATTATTCGAGAATGCAGATCTTAAACAATCTGTGGAAGAAAGCACCTCATAAAAAAGTCAGAGAACTTGCGTCAGATCTCGGAACAAGTCTAATGACCGTTTTCAAACGTTTAAAATTGATGGAAAATGTGAAAAATCCCAGGGTCACCCACCTAGTTAACGAAAGTCGGTCTTTGAAACTTCAAGATTTTAGTGTTTCTTGCACGTCAAAGAAATGAACCCCTGTGACGAAAAATGGATCTTCTATGACTACTTTTTTGAGAACTTGTATTACTTTATGCAATTAAAATTCTTTATAAATGATTCAAATATTGAAAGTTCATATAGTTTAAATAGACCTTCCTTTATCCATTTTCACGAAAACGTAATGAAAATATAGTTAATGAAGTGATCATAGTTTTAAAGTTCCTAACTTTAAGTGAACTTAGGAAAAGTTTACAAAAACTATTCATTCGATCCTACAAAGTCAACTATTCTATAAAGAAAACATTTACCTGTGCCATGCGGGGATATAAACAGGGGTAGGGAGGAGTTCCCAGAAAGGGATGAGATGACGCTAATTGTGCTGTAATACTTATTCTACTTATTATTTGACGGTTTTTAGGAATATGAATTGTTGAAGAAAATCAGAGATGTGGTGGCCAAGCGGGCTAACCTGAGTGCACAGCACCGTGCGTTGCCTGCCTGCCAGAAATCTGCAGTAGATAAAATAAATACGATTTCGTGTGCTGGTGATGGGGGAGCTTTTAACTCTAGGATAAATTCTCCTTCCTCATGGCCCTGTATTGCCTTAAAGGTGAGAAAGGAAAGGAATGTTGAAGGAAATCATGTTTTTGTATAGATACAATTTGTATAAACTTTCAAACAAGAGAACGAGGAAAAAACCCATACCAACTTCTCTACAAAAAATAATTGAATGTATGTATTTATTAACGGTTTAACCAAATATAAGTGACCGCTTATATTTTCTCAAATAGTCTGTAGTTACACTGCCTAAAAAAAAAAAAAAAAATTGCGTGTATTTCGATGAAAAATGTTTCTCTAGACTAATTTTGGTGTGAGAAACTCGAATTTTCTGTCACAATCTTACTATTAGCTACTGCTCAGCAGATAAGTATATCCAGAATCAAATACAAAAAAAAAAAAAACAAGTTATTGAAAGTTACACTACTATGTTTTAGGCTTTGAAAGTGCTTTGTTATTAGTTAAATACTTTTACAACCCACAAAACATTAAATTACAACTTCTCTCGGCAAGTAAAGTGCTTTTATACGCTTCTTCTTTGCTTGACGATTGTACAAATGTTCAGGTAAATCCCTCAAAACGTTCCAACAGCAGTCTGCGAACATTGAAGTATTAGTGATAGAGGGAAGTAAATTGCCAGTGTGCAATAGAACTGTCTTGAGCGATAGCTTTGATGAATCTATGAACGGCCTCCATTCAGAAGGGTTGTGATTGATATTCAATGCTGTCATCAGACCTGGGGCATCACAACAAGCAAAAAGGTTCTCATGCTTTTTCAAAAAGGTGATCAAGTCTTTATGGCGATTTCCGTACATTTTAATCTTTATATCAGGTTGGAAGAAGTTCCATTACTTGAATTTGACCCCAAAAGTTCTGCTTTCTCTTTGGGCAGATCCAGCTAACGAATCAAGACACTGAGTTCAGGGTTTTCGTTCTTGTTCGAAAGATAAATCAGAATCATCTGATGAGGTTTCTCCTAGGGGATTTTCCTCTTCGTTAGCCTCGTCCTCATTCAAGTCGTATTCAAGAGGCCTTAGAATAGGCAATTCGTCCCCATATAGTATTGGCCGTATAGCAGAAGTAATGTCAGGGTACTTCACTTCAGATTTCTTTTTTCGAGACATTCCATGATAAAGAGGAAAGGCCGTGCAAAAGTAGCAGTTTTCAGTGTGATTAGTAGGCTCCCTCCACACTGTGGGAACTACAAAACGTATTGAACGAACTCTCCTGGGCAATCATTCTCTTAAGATTAGACTACTTGTGATGCAGTAGATATGCGGGGTCCACGGTTTATCTTAGTCACCAACCTTTACACCAAAATACTTGTGGTATTCTGTCTTGATCATCTGGGGATAGGAAGTTTTTGACTTGTGATGGTTCCTTTCCCACAAATATAAAAAAAGTTGTTAAAGAGCACTCAAACACTTCCTGGGATTGTAACTTCACCAAAACTACTAAAATCACGAAAAAATCGTTGAAAGAATACCTAAAGCAAGAAAGATCACGTATATAAGAGTACTTTTAAATGTAAAAACTGAATGCAACTGTCAGTAAAATGGTTCTGTGAGTCACAGCTAGTCGTTTCCTGCGATTCACACACTTCACAGACAGGAAATGTCCCCATACTACGCAAAAAGTAACTATATCTTTGAAACTACTGCTAACTAATGATTTTTATGTGAAAATTCGAATATCTCACACCATAAACATGCAATGAGGGTGTTTTCAAGTGAGGAACAATATCAATGTTATTTAAAACAAATTTATATTGTGGAATTAGAAGCCTTTACTTTTATCTTAACATTCTCAAAGTAAATATACTAGTATATTAATTTTTTTTTCTTCTTTACAAAACCTTTTGTTTTGTAATGTCTAGTTAATTAAATATTTCTCTGCATTTTAAATATAAGATTAAATTCATTCAATCCAAAGCCAATAAAATGTTCTGGGCTAAGAAGAAGAGCGCTCATTAATGGCATATCCATAATAACAACATAAAGTAGGTACCACTATGCTAGTTATATTTTTTTTTAAACCAAATTAGAACAATAAGGCCCTCATTACTGTCAGTTTTCAGTACTACTTTAATAATAACTGATTGTTATAAGAAACGCCGGAAGAAGTTCTTGGACAGCACAAACCTTTTCAGAGAGAATCTATAATCTTTGCCAAATCTCAACTTAAACTCACTTTCGGAGCATGCGCCTTCTTCCAGCTTCTGTTTCAGATCATCATTATTATTCCTTTCTATCGATAACACATGAAGTCCACAGTAAGAAACGAGATCGAACAAAGATATGGATTATTTAAAGGTCAAGATATCGTATTTCAGCTCTGAGTATAAAAAATAAAATAATACCAACACATGTAGAACGAAAATACCCTATAAGTTAGTTATCCAGATGAGAAGGCATATGACGTATAATAATAATGATACAAAACAGGATACAGAAGCTTCTCTGCACCGAGTACAATGACTTTAATGACATCATCATCATTGAAAGTCCATTTGCACAGACCACCAGGGACGGCAATGGTATCAGGCAGTTACAGATTGGTAAGATGGTCTTCCATTCCATTACAGAAGATCCTATAGTTTTTACAATGTGGACTAGTTTGTAGTCGAAAATATCTACAAGTAGTTAATAGAAATAGGTTAAATGAAATATTGCATTTTTACAATTACATACTTTGAAAAATACCAAAATAATTGTAATGTAACATTGTTGTAAAACTCATATGCTAATTTAAATTCATATCAGTGTAATCATTAGTTCATATATCTAATTTTTCATTTTTCACTTTGAAAATATCCGATTATTTCTACTTCATATGACGAAAACATTTCTAAATCTAAAATTGAGAAAAATAAAACCGCATGCATAGCTATGAAGAGGACACTTATATAAAAACAAACAGTGTTGAGTTATGGAGGATAATCAATCCATATAATTTCTTCACTGAAATAGCTTATATTTGATACACATAAGGGTCCCTCAAAAATTATGATGGCGCACCTTGTGCCATATAGATCCTTTTTTGGCACTTCTGGAGACACAAATTCAAAAGATTCGTGTTTTCGACTAACAATTTAGAGTCAACTAATAATTATTGCTCTTGTAAGTCGCCTTTCATATTAATTTATATGTTTTGGTTATTTAGAATTTTGATAAACCGGTAACTTAGGAATTTTTGAGAGAAGTAGAGGTTAGAGCAACGTTTTTTCTACATATACCGCTGTAGCAGTCATATATTAATTAATAATAGAGTTGTAATGGAAGAATCAAAATCTCTGAAGGATCGGAAATTTACGGATAAAAAGGCATGGGAAAAATAAAATGAAATTTCTGATCTTAAGAGATGAAAAAATGAGAGCTTATTCTCAAAGATACATTCAAAAGACACGTTCAGACTCATTTAAGAGAACCAATTGGTTTACTTAACAAAAACGACACGGATTCTTTTGTAAAGACACTGTTCTTTGTCCAGAGTCCATACAACAATGTGAATTTCGCATTTAACAGTCTCATTTCGTATTCCACCATGGGGACACTGTTCCATGTGGAATGAGTTCCTGCTTAGAGCTAATTACAAGTGAAAGAACATGAAAATATAAACGTTGGTGGACGAGCGAAGCATAGGCGCAGACCAAAAAAAAAAATGGTAGGAGTTTTTATCATGTGTAAACATTCAACATAATTATTGTGAAACCAACGAATGTAATATTGAATATTTAAAATTGATTTGTTTATATTATAAAGATGATATAAAAATATTAATATTTAATTATTGATTATGATGTAAACTTATTATGTTTGTATAGTTGTAAGGATATTTTTTTTTTTTTGTTTTACTTATTACATGTACTTGGAAATATTTTCAAAAAAATACGATTGAATATATAACCTATAAGGGGCCTTCACATCGTTGGCACATTTCTAAAACTTTTTCAGCTAAAAATGAATAATATAAAAAAAAATCAAAGATATTTTTTAGTGTAAACAATCTCAAATAAAAATACAACGAAAGAATTTCACATGAAAATTGAGGGGTGATTGAACCATAAAATTCTTTCAGAAAATGTGAAATTCTTTCGTTGTATTTTTATTTGAGATTGTTTACACTAAAAAATCAAAGATATTTTTTATATATATATATATATATATATATATATATATATATATATATATATATTTATTATTATTATTATTATTATCTTTTAATATAAAGGAAAATTTAAATTAACATTTAAGTACCTTAGTAACATTTAGGTATCAATAAAATAGATATATGCCTACTACTAGGGGCTCTAGCCTAGGCAGCTAGTCGACTTTCCTTAATTTATTGTAGTTTACACATTTTATTCATTCATTTAGCTTATTTATTATTGATTTTATTTATTTTATTTTTTTACCTTGAATTATTGAGGGGTGAAACGATATTCTCGCTCCCTCAACATTTTTATTGTGGGATCGATCGCTCCTCTGATTCCATATTGGTCCGCACAGAAGATACCACCAATATCACTAAAACGGTTATGATGGAAGGGATACGCGACAGGGGTCTGCAAGCCACTGCAATATCTCAGCTAGGTGCAAACTCTTAGAACGTTGTTTGGCATTTAACGCATATCCATTAAATTTAATGAATTCATTACTAATATTAATTAACAACAATATCCTAACGTTCTCCGGATCAATAGGAACAGAGTTGACAGTGGCAAAGCTCTTGCTAGAAAATCGCATCATCGACCGAAAACTCCGATTTAAACGAGTTCAGACCATTATTCATTAAGAATGATACCATGATTTGAATAAAATTATATAACCTGAAGTGGAGGTTGTAGTCTAGGCTGAAGAAAATATTGATTGATGATGAATAGGAAGCGGTTAAGACGGATCAGACTGATGGCTATGATTACTGGTATTTAAAAGGGCAGGGTGGTCGAGCGAGCTAACGCGTGTAACCTAAGTTCAAAACATGCGTTGCACGGCAACGTAATAAGCTGAGGATTATGAATTTGAACCCCGATGCCTAGGGAGGATAAAGGTTTTTTAACTCCAATATAAATCCCCGTCCTCCCTCCCTTGGACCGAGAAAACCTCCGTTCTTGCCGAAAAGGTGAAAATAAGATGAAAGTGTCGAGAAACAATGATGTGACGCCACCCAGGCAAGATTTATCCCACGATGAACGGCTGCCTTAATCACCGAATTTAGAAAGGCTAAAAGGAACCACATGACTAGAGCTAGTTGAAGACCACAGAAATAACAAAACGTGTTAGGTTTATTCGTAAGAGGACCTAGAACGAATTTATCACCTAGCAGATCTAAAAGAATCTGTAAGTTATTTCTTAAAGAAGGTTGTCGAACATTCATAAACTTCTTAGTGGCATCAAGAAATTATTTTCCATCAGGACTTCTCGCTCTTGGCGCGACTGCCCTGTGAATGTCCTCTTCTATATTAAAGAACGGCTTTTGGGAATATAAAGGCATTTTATGGATGACGTGTATTTTTCTAAAAGTTGGTTGATCAAGGATTTGAGCCTACTCCATAAGAGCAAACATAGATAATCCACAAGTTGTACAGAACCATATTTATTCTCCCTATAATGAGCAAGATCCACGAGAACGAGAATGAGTAATCTATCGCTTTACAGTTTTAGAAGGACAAGACATTTACGTCGAATGGAACTTAATGTAAAGTGCTGTGTAAAACAAAGAGGAGAGCCGTGTATCATTTTTCTGTTTTTCGTCAGATCCTTCAATAAAGACCATTAAGTTTTAGTCAAAAACGGGATGGTTGAATATTAGGTGTGTCTGAGAGATATTTTATACACTCAAGGAAAAGAACAGGGTTCAACGAGAATTTGAAGGCAAAACAATGTTTTAGATCCATTTGTGATGTTTAAAATTTATGTATTCCTATAATAATCAGTCACAGAGTTTACGCGGAGTTCAAATTAGGCGTTAAATTATTCCTTTTGCGATGCTGAATACTAAACAATTGGCCTTCAATAAATTTATGAAGTTGTGAAAATTCATTTGTAATGAAGCTCATAACTTCAATGATACATTTTTTATAAAATTTTGAAACAAAGGTTTTTTCTAGATCAAAAATAGCCATTAGGTTGTAATTTGAAATATTATGTTATCAATCTGGAATAAACCATTTACCTAATGATTGGCAGAACCTCTTTATTTCCGCAATTTGTTAACGCAATAGATATCAACATTTGTATCAAGCAGAAATATGTTTCTTATGGGTTTGTTTTCTGAAGGTTGCTTTGTTACTTTAAATCGAATCAATTAATCAAATAATTAATTATTAATGAATCAATTAATGAAAAGTATTTTAAACAATTAAGCATTAATTAATCTGAATATTTTCTAAAAAGAAAATTGTTTGAAAATTGAAAACACGAATAGCACAAGATCGACTGTCAAGCGTTCAGAGAATTAAAAGTTATTGATTATCGTTTAAGACGGACTTGAATGATTTGAGTTTTGAAAAGCTTCAAGGGAGAAATATTGGCCTCAACTAATGATCACATCGTTGTCGAAATTCCGGGTTGGTTAAACATATTTTGAATTTAAAATTGTAGATGTTGAAGTCTGGCTCGAGTGCGTTTGTTAAAAAAGTATGGAAATCAATCTGATTTTTATAATTACAGGCTGATGTGGTGTCATTACAGTCTTAATCTTGAAGCGGTACCTATATGAACTTATTCTGGGCAAGTTGAACGATGTTTCGTAGATATAAATCTTCACCTTCTAACCCTGTTTGCAATAGGTTTGTCACTTGTGCGATAATTTCTATAACCATAGATATTATCTCAGCAAAACAATTGGGAAAATAAATATCCGCTAAATATACCATCTACTTCATCGCTTATACCTTATTGAATTTCTTCCAAGCCTAGTATATATGCCTCTTTAAATGGAAGCGTAACTATAAAGTTAGTTAAGTAGCTAATCAATTTAAGGTTTCTGCTGAATATAAGCGCATAAACAACAAAGGGAACATAATGCTTATCGAGCAGGTATCAGCCCGAACAGATTAATCCTAGCATGTGACAATCCTTGCCAAGACCCGGAGCCATGGAATTGTGGAGATCCCGAAACGGAGAGCCTGGAACTCCTGTCAATCGTGCCCTTGGAGTCGGTCACTCTCACCGTCTTCCGCCGAAGGACGAGGAACACCATCAAGGCCCACTTCTCAAACGGGAGGATTCTCTTCTTTGAATTGGCCGCAAGCGACCGCAGGGAGGTGAGTATACCATTTAAATTTCAGAAACCAATAACATATGATGGCGCTTGGATTATGTCAAGTAAACACTCAATGTTCAAACACAATCTGATTATATAGAGTTTATAGTGCAACACTTTAGCACATCTTCAAGAATGTATGTATTTTATAAATGTTCATTAAATACATTGGCCCAGTAGCCATATATTGCTGAAACTTAGTGAAATACAACTAGAATTTGAAATTGAAAAAATAAATCTAGTTCTTAGGTAGAAATAACAAATTATTTATTAAAAATTTCTAAAATCAATTTTGGCCTTTCGAGATGTTCTGGAACCTGTGGTGTGACCGAATGAGGCTTTTAGCTCCGGAATTCGTCAGCTCAACGCAATCCGAGACTAGCGTCGGGTCCTCCTCATCGACCATTACCAACTACTCTCGCCAAGTTCATTTTGAAAAAGCGGTAAGAAAATGCTTGAGTTGATGGAATATTAATATCATATTCCAATGAGCAATGTAATGTTGCGCAGTCATTGGACAATTATTAATTTACAAGATACAGAACTAAATAAATTAAGTTTTCTGAGAGACATCCCAGTGGGCATTTACTGTTCATCTACCGTTGGGAAGTGGTTTTTCAATAAAGGTTGACCAGCGATTAAAATCGGTCGCTTAACCCATGGTTTGCCAACAACTATTCCCCAACTACTTTTAATAACAATGAGACAATAATTTTAATAAGGCTAAATACGTAAATTTCTCATTCTACCCTACCATCTGCCAACCAGAATTATTGCCTAACGGGTTTTCACCATTTGTATATTAAATATTTAATAGTTGACCGTTGCATTATAAAGGAAGGAGATGGTCCGGGGTTGCGGTCATAAATAGACTAAATAGTGGTAAAACTATTTTATTGAAAGCCGACGTTTCGACCCGACTTTGCAGGTCTTCATCACCTTGGTCTTGGTCACCAGTTCTAAGTGAAACTCCTAGCTGAACACACCTCCCTGATGAAGACCTGCAAAGTCGGGTCGAAACTTTGGCTTTCAATAAAATAGTTTTACCACTATTTAGCCTATTTATGACCGCAACCCTGGACCATCTCCTTCCTTCGTTTGAATATTATGTATTCTATTAATGTATTACTTATTCTGCACATGTCTATTGCATGTGTAATATATATATATATATATATATATATATATATATATATATATATATATATATATATTATTAAAAAGTTGATAAACTTTCAGAAAAATCAATTCGTATGCGGCAAACAAGTATTAGAATGTTCTAAACGTATCACCAAAAGGACATACTGTTATATCACATTTCACTCTCACATAATAGAATGAAAATTAACCATAGAAAATAACGATGATCCTGAACAGTAAAGGTGATTTGCAACCAGATAATGCTTCAAAGTAAAATTGAGTACAAAACCCCTAGTTAATCCTGCTACAGAGGAAAAAGAACACCTAAATGTATCCAAGATCCTTTGCGAATAGAATGTTTTGCCTTCGTTAAATCATTTTAGTAAATGATTTAAACATTAATCTCTTAAATATTAATCTCTCATAATTATACCTGTACAATAGGTTAATTTTAAATATCGTTACTATATAGTCATATAATGGTTGGAAATCATTGCTTAATAAATAATGTATTTCTCGCTCATCCATTTTCTCTTCGTGGAAGCTAAGAAATTCTTGTAAAAATAAACATTTCTTGTATACTATCTAGTGGCACGAACGAGACCTCTTCCTTGGCGCCAAGTTTGGGACTTGGCCTATCAAGAAGAAGAGACAGCCAGTAGGATCGCCTCATGTTCCGCGGGAAGCAGAAGCTGTGCCCAATAAATCGTTAAGTTATTAAGTAATATATTCTAGCTATTTAGTAATTATTAATTGAAAACATTATGTATAATTATGATATTCTTTTTTTTTTGTATATAGATATTGTTTTTTTTAGATATATTTTCATTTATATTGATAATTGAATAATACCTGTTTTTATTATATATAACAACTAGAGGCTGAATATGTACTTCATGGTAATAATCGACTGAGGTTATAAAATAAAATTTAAAAAAAAATTAATTCTTCCTTTAACGAATAAATATTGCTAAAATTCTTTCTTCTTATTCGGCGTTACGACCCACTAGTTGATTCATAGCCTGCTCAAGCATAGACTGCCAGACCTCCCTGTTCCGTGCTGCTGCCTTCCATCCAGTTCATAACACCGAGCAGAGATCTCGCATCTGCTGCCACGCAGTCTTCCCAGCGAAGTCTGGGGCGTCCAACCCGCCTGGTACCATACATTTTCCCAGCTAAGATCTTGTAAGAAACTTCGTTTGGATCCATCCTTATGACGTGACCAGACCAGCGAAATCTTGATACCTTAACGAATGTTGATACATCTATTTCTTTGTACCTCGCTCTTAACTCAGCATTCGTTCTTCTTCTCCATGCACCTCCCTCATATATACCACCATATATACCCATAGGCGAAGCAATTTTCTTTCAAAACGGAGAAGGTAAGATAAAATAATTAGCAACTATTTAAAAAAAATAAACAAAATAGAGGTAGATATTCGAATCGTTTGTTTCAGAAAGGGCAATTACCATATGTTTACAGTTACGGAATGGACTTAATCCGTAACAACTATTAATATTAACTATTATTTAATTTAATAATTTAAATCATTCATTGGCCTTTCTCATGACCTTTATCAAAGCCCTAGATAGCCAGGTCAAGCTATCTCTGATAGCTTAGAAATAGTTATCTAGAATGTACTGACTGGACAGAAGACACTTATCAAGACTTAGGGAACAATAACCCTTTTCAGCAAAAGAGCACTTTCTCACAGACTTCATATCAATTCTAAAAGATAAGGATATCAATTCTTAATAGATATAACTTCATTCACACGCTTCCTAGACCGACCAGAATTGATTCATCCCCCCTACTATCCCTGATCATATAACCCTATGATCCTCACACCAAAATCACTTATTCAGTTACATTCTTGAGTCAGACACTTCACTGTAGGAGACCTGGAGTGAACTGATGTAGTCAACTCATATATCCATATTATATTACTTATATTATATTTTAGTTGCCATTTGTAACATAATGAATAAATCCATTATTTATAAAGTCTCCACTGTCTCCGATTCGTTAACTTTACGATTTTGGCAAAAATCCAAAAACTATTTAGTACTAAAATTTTAATAGATAACAATCAACAAAAAAATATGTTTTAAACAATTAATCCTTACTTTATTTATGCCAGTTTTTACGCATTGAAATAGTATTATATCTTCAGACAAGATTTTTTTCAAATTTTACATTTCTGTTGTTTTTGCGATAAACCTAATTTTAGTATTTTTTTGTTATCACCTTTTCTTTAACTATAAATCTATGAATAATCATAAAAAAAAAAAAAAAATCTTAGTATTGTTTCTGAAAAAGAGAACCTTCGTTTTTACTAAATTGGAAAATATAAAAAAAATAATAAATGAATTTAATAATAAAACACACACAAACGTGCAGCAACTTGGCCAATTTAGAATCTGATGATAAAACGTTTTGTAATATTCTTTCTGTTCTTTTAAGTCAGAAATGTTATTATTATTTTTATTTTTTTTACTCCTTACTGGCTATTTCTGGTATACGATGTTTATTCATGGTTCTTCTACAGGTATATCCAATCCTATTTTAACCAGAGTAGAAAAATCGAGAATCATTCCGTGAATTTGAAATTTCAAAACGCTTTGGCTGGATTCGAACGTCGGCTAAAATCAAGAATGTGAAAGCGGAAAACGCTCTATCGCAATCGGCTACCAAAAGCTATAAACTCGTAAGTCTGACTGAAGCTTGTCAAGATGCTGTTGTAATTGAGACAAGAATGCCTAAATATAGGAAAATGACGAATCAGCTTGCTCTTTCCCATGTCATTCGAACTCCTTAGTTTTTTCCTTGCAGCCTTCTTGGTGGATTCGAAACTAAAAACATTATTGATGGAAACTAGATCAAATCCACTGTTGATGGAATCCAGAACACGGTCTAATATTGACAACTAACTTCACGGTCGTTACCCTCCTTTATTTAGATCGCAACTATCGACTTACACTTTTTCTAAAGATTATCTTCCTGGTCCTTTCAGCTTAAACCAATAAATGAAAAATGTCCGGAAACTTCATGTTTTTTTAAATGCAGTAACGCATAGGCGGATCTACGGGGGGTCTTTCGGGCTGAATCCTCCCTCTCCCCCCCCCAAAAAAAAACGAAAAATATAACCATGTTTTATAGAAAAAAATATCTCTTGAAGTATTATTGTTCGTGTAATTACATTTGATAGGACTTCAAAAATCACTTAAACGCCATTTCATATAGGTAGTTAATTTCTTTTTTTTTCAAATTAATTATCAATATATATTTGCAAAAAAAAAATCTTTCGGGCTGAAGCCCCTCTCTCAAAATTAAATCCTGGATTCGCTAGTGCAGTAATCCAAGTCCATGTCAAGAGATGGTGCAAGCTTAGCACACTTATAATTTATGCATTAGCAACGGCACTCAGGAAATATCCGGAGAGGGAAGGAGTGCAACGTTAGAATGGCATATATAAACTGCTCCAGTTATCAGTTCACTTGTAAGGTAATATAATTATTACTTATTTGGTTAATTCAACACTTTTCTGTTTTTTTTTTAAAGCACATTACTGTGAAAGATTGCAAACCTCGTAAAACTCTGTCCCTCTTCATAAATTATTGAGGGGAGGGGAGGGCCCGAAGAGCCTTGTTCCCTTCTCTGAGATGGTACCCATAAATTTATATCATATAAAATGATCAACTTTCCAACATTTATTTTCAACAGAGATCCCTACAGTGTCTAATTTTACAAATCTGAGTTCTACTTGGAAGGTAAGGATAAAGTTTGAGTTTTTGAGTTAGTGAGGAGAAGCTCACAACAAATACTTTGCATTGTGACCAGCTTTAGAATCTTAATAACATAATTGTGGGGTTTCAAGATGTATCTCTCTCTCTCTCTCTCTCTCTCTCTCTATATATATATATATATATATATATATATATATATATATATATATATATATATATATATATACAAAGAATCATAACTCAAAGAATAAGAAAAACAAATCAGAGCTTACTCTCCTACCTCCTACATTTTTCCAACAATAAATTTGCCCACAGAGGAAAATTGAAGGTCTGCCAAGTGAACAGATTTGGTGCGGGCATCAGCGAGAACTGTTCCACTTCTCTCTTCCTCCCGGCTCAAGTCATCGTGGCGCAAAGCTTCTTGGAAGACGTCAATGGATTCTTTAAGGTTTGGGGTTATTACCTCTTGATAGATATTTTTGTATTTACTATGGACCTATCTTTTCATTTTAGGGGGAAGAGGAAGAGGAAAAGAAGTGGCAAGAGTTAATTATGGAAGGAAGAGTAGAGCGAACCAGGAGAGTGAGCCACCCTCGACGATACGGCCTCCTGGCAATGCCCCACCTCATGGCCGGCCTCGGCCTATGGGCTCTCCCTTATCCTCAAGCCCACTTAGCACAGGTACTAAATATTGTTATAATATATTAGTCAATGCCGTGATGGAAGATCATTTATAAGTGCTTAGATTTTAAATGCAGTAGCCCTGCTGTGCTTTTTCTTTGTTAGAAAAACAATTTATCTCCAGGGAGCATCATAATTTTCTTTACTAAGTAAATAGAAACATTTTGATGATGATGGAAGAAGAGAGATTAAGATGGTATAGTCTTATAAAAAATGGATGAATCAGGAAGAGATGGCAGGGTATTAAGAAAACATTAGCATTCTAGATTCTAAAGCCAAACCCATTCAGATCCTCTCTCTCAATCAGTTAAAATGTATTTAGCAACGAACTAGCGAAATAAATCTCAAACTTCTCACATCAGCTAAAATACGTAGACAATTCTTTATTCAATCAACGATTCTGTAATGATTACATATTAAAAATGAAATATTTTCCAAAAGATCTGAACCAACCCCTGAAGGGTCTTGTGTTCAATACTTCATAAGGAGGTAATGTTTCTTGTGCAACGGTTGTGCAGTGATTGGACCTTGATCATGCTCAACCTTCAGACATTCCCGCGTAATCAATTAATTATTAAGAGTACCTACTTAACAGAGGCTCTGTGTACCCCTAAAGGATCTCATTCTTCACATTGAAAATAGGCCAAAACAAATCTGAAAGTGAGGTCTCATCTCATCTACGGTTTCGTCTTCTTAAATCAGTTCTATGGATAAATCTAGAAAAATATTTAAAAAAGAAATTTTTTTTTTTATGAATGAAACTTTTTAATGTTCATAATAATCTGACAGAAAACTTTTACTGAAGAAATTAACAGTCGTTAAGTTGGTAGAAAACAGTAACAGATCATTTTACTGAAATTATTCAAGTTCATCTTTCCTGTTCGGTTCTTATTTCAGATGAAAAGGTGTTGTTCAGAGGTGAGCTTAAGCACAAGAGAGGCATCTACTTCACCCTCAATACCAAAGAGCCTCCTCAAGTCTTCTGTCTCCTCAGAGTCTCTCTTAAGATATTCTAAACAGTTTGAGTAAGTATCTCCATATTGCTGACCCCTTAAATTAATGACTTTTGATACTGAAGACATTCTCTTGCACAGGCCTGCCATAATCTTCTGGACCCCTGGCTTTTGGTATAAGCCAAGAAATATATCTGAGGCATACCTTGAACAAAGGCATCACCTCTCCGACATACGGTCGTTCATCTCACAAGGTGAGGTCACAAAAATAATGTTACTCGTGTTACTGTTACAGTTACATATTACATGTTAATGTTATTACTAATGTTACTGGATGTTAGCTATCACTAAAATCAAAAACGCACAGACTTAGTTGTAGTAGTTTCAATTAATGAAATCTTATAAAAAAATATCCAGCATTTCTATACACTAAATGAAACTGAATAGATTAGGAGTTTTTAAACCTGACTTTTGTCTTCTTAATAACTCTTGACCTTGAAAGTAGAATCCAGTAAGTCAACTCAACAGTCTTAAGTACTCTTAGTTTGTTCAAATAGATATATAGCATATATATATATATATATATATAGATTGGTCTGTCTTGGTCTGTAGTGTCAATATATATATATATATATATATATATATGGGGCTGGGGTAGCCGTACGGCCTAAGGCGCTTGCAATAGGTAATCAAAGTTAAGCAACGTCGAGCGTGGTTAGCATTTGGATAGGTGACCGCCCGATTTGGATGACCGTCCACCAGAGGAAGCCATGCTGCCCGGGTCTCTCCCCTACCTCCCCCCATCCCGGGTATGTTAGACCCGTCAACCTACTGGAGGCAACTCACACCGACCGGGCGTAGGACTGATGACCCACCCCGTGTACTTAAATCGGGAATCGGGATATGGTTTACCAGGATGTTAATAGCCCCCCTGAGTTTCGGTCCATGGACAGTCTGTTTCGGGGAAAGAAATATAGGTCCTCCTGCGCCTGCTGACTCCGAGCAGCCATAATCCATGGGTCTGGACCGATTTGTCACTATTCTTGAACCCAAGAAAGTCGGTGGGAAGGACACTGCCAGATTGGCCCCAAAGGGATCGGCTATGGAGCTACGGGTTCAACCAATGCCGCTGTACCATGGAAACATTGGTTCGTAGCAACGTGAGGTTGGGTGACTCCCTCCAGGCTATCTGAGTTCCTGCAAGAATCACACGCCTGTAAGGAGACCACATATCGAGGATTTGTAGATCGAAGATCTTCTTGGTCTGTAGTGCCAACCGAAAATATATATATATATAACACTGGGTAGAGATATAGTCAAGCTTTCTAGTTTATCTTCCCTTCCATGAAAAATCAAGCATTCTATTTACTTTAGTTTTCCATGATTCGCCATCGGGTTACTACATTTTTCAAAGTTTCTATATGACAAATAGTTGTTATCCTGTTTTCTATAATTGGATCGACATGTAGAATTTTGAAAACAACTAAAATGAAAGCTTGTCATAAAAAAGGATGATTTATCCAACACAAAAAATAAATGTGTTTTGAAAATAAAACTACACACAAAAATGAACATTTATATACCTACTTGCAGGTCCAATAAAAAAGAAGAAGTGGCTAAAAGTTTTCAAAAAAAAGCAAACACAGTTAAGTTTCGTTGTTTGTTGTTATTTGTCATTTTATTTTAAGAAATATTAAATCATAAAATAAGGAGATACATGTTTCAGTAATGTAGAGTGGAAAGATGGTCCCATGATGAAAAAAAAACAAGGTATGTTGTTTTATATTTGTTACAAGCAAAACTTTATTTCTTCACTGATCTAGTAACTTAGTTTGTTGGTTGATTTTTTGCAACTTAAGGAGTAAAATATCAAGTTCCCTTTCTCTACCATTATATATATATTTGGAAAGGGTGACCCATAAGCAAAGAGAAATATTTAAAGAGGTAATTAGTAGACCTAAAGAGATTTAACAAATTTATAGAAAATATAGTCTCATTAAGTGCAGAAAATCTAAATTTTATTTTTTTCAAGTGTCGATTTTTTGTTGAATAGGAAGCGATAAATAAAAAATAGTCATAATGGTGTAGAGATGGTTGACCATGATTATAATATGAGGAGTTGATCGAGGGGGTGTAGTCAAATAAACATTATTTTAATACATAGTATTTATTTGACCCACTGACCAACTCCTCAAAAAAAAATTTAATTTAGGTAACTAAAAATTATTTTACAGTGAACTAGACAAAAATTTACTTCAAATTTAGGCAGAGTTTATTTTTGTTTTAAAGAAGACAAACCAGTTAAAGAGGATTTTTAAGTGGCAAAACTAGGCTTATTCTGTTTTTCATAAAATCATGGGTAATTCACGATTTTTTTAATTTGTTTATCATCCTTGAACTAGGCTACAAATACCTCACTTTTAGAAAAACGATATTGCCTAATAAGCTTTAAGTCCATATTAATAAAGCTGAGGTTTATTCTAACATAAGTTGAGATTCACAGTTGTGATTGATTTCGTCTCTTAAAATTACCTGATTTTAGAAAAAATTACAACAAATTATTGCAAAGCTTTATTCTACCTTTGTAGAGTAAATTTGTTTTTCTGAATAAGCAACATTTATACCAAATTGTATTTTTTATTTCTGAAATCGCCATAATCAAGCTAATGAAAATCCTATTGCTACAAGACATAGAGAATATCAATACCAATTAAAAGTAATAGCTCATTATTGTAAATAAATGTTTTTATTCGTTATATATTAAGAACGATATTTTATAGCAAAATGTTTAACAAATTCACTTGCCTTACAGATTTCCGTTCATTGCTTGTAGCAGACATTGCGCTGTCCAGTTGGGACTTCGATTCCACACTGATTGCTTATCAAATAACACTAATTGACAAGGATTTGTTTATCAGGGTACCAGCTTATATTTAATTATTATACAGAAATATATATTTTTAAGCCCCTTCACCTTCCTTATCAAGAATTTTATTAATATCTTAAAATATCAAAGTGTTAGTTTTTCCCACCCAAACCGAAAGGATTATTTTTAATATAATAGCAATTTGCATATGAAATACCAACTTAGTATTAGGATCTAGGTGGCTCATGTAATATTCCTCCAGAATTATCTAAAATATATAATTATGGGTCCCATGAAATATTTTTTTGAATTTAAACTGAAGTTGAAAAGTGATCTTTTGACCACTGGTAAAAAATCTTGGTGAGACAAAGAAACCAATTTGCCAAGTTTAGAGATGTATTTAAATATAACTTATATTAGCCAAAAGTTATTTCTTTTGTTTTGTTTATTACCCTCTACTTCCACATTGCTGAGGGGAGTGCTGCTCTAGAGATACAACTAACCCTATTCTAACCAGAGTGGGAAGATTCATTCTTTTTGTGGTTAAGAAAAGGTTTCAGCCTCATAATAACCATGGGGAGGAATAGAATATCTGTTAAGCTTATAAGTGAATAAGTAGTTTATGTCTTATCTCTTCCAAAGATTTCAGTAATAATCAAAATTGCTTGTGCTGACAGATTCCAATCTCAGATTTTGAAGAATTGCAGAAAGACAGGAATTCAAGAAACTCTCCTAACTTCCGAGCCTTAGTAGCTTTTTCCAACAGGCTGGCCAATCTAATCACCACTGAACTCATAAGGATTGATTCAGTGAAAGTAATAAATCAATTGTTTAGTTGTTGGTAAACAAAACTATTTTTACTCATATTCTCTGTTGGTTCAGATGAGGGCACGTTTGGTAGCACGATGGATTAACGTGGCCGACAAACTGTTCCGATTGCAGAATATGCAAGGAGTCTGTAGTGTTCTGGCTGGGCTGCAAAGTGCTGGTGTCTACAGGCTCACTGGCACCTGGTCTTATCTTCGCCATCACCACAACTCAAAGTATAGGTAACTTTACATTCATTAATTTATGTAATTCCTTTGAAAATAACCTTTTCTTAAGTTTCATTATTTCTATTTATTCCCCTTAGTAACTTCAGTAGTTTTCTTACCAAGGATATTTTTTATTTTATATTAATTTATGTTTTAATGTAGATCTAAGGAAAATTGTGGGTGGTGGTTTCCTAATCGAATGATTATGACTAAATCATTTAGTTTTCAATTGGTGTAAGGATACATAAGAAGAACCCCAGAATGACGGTCAAGCGAGGTATTCTTTATACCACTAATGAACAAGGTTGCTTCCTTAGAAATCTATACCTTGGGTTCCTTTTTTAAGATGTACGAGAATCAAGAACCCAAAAAAAATTATATTTGTTTACAGCTTGTATTGTTGCAATCTGTATTTGACTGCAATCAAAACAGTTCCAAGATTTAAATAGAACAATGGGAAAATGTTTGATTTATACCAGGTATTTAAATATGAAACCGGAATTTGTCCATAGATGGCTCTAGTTGTTAATGTAGTGACCGTCAAACTGCATTATTTTATTTCTTTGATAGCTGACAAAGATTTTGACCTCAAAACACAAATAATATAACATCATCGTTTTAATATTGTCGAACATGGTGAGTTTTGTGTCTATGAACTCCTATTTGCAAACAGCATTAGTTTTCTATCACCATTTAAGAAAACTACTATGGAATAGCATCAAATACTCGTCTAAACTTACAGTGTGCAAGGGCTCATGGTAAATCAGTGCTTTGAGGGATTTAAAAAATTCAAAAGAGGCAACTTCAACATGATAAATGAGGAACGTCAAAATTGGATATGATATATTATTAGCTACAACCTGAGAAAACTATTAAAACTCAACACTATTGGCAACAAATGATTGATTTGTGAAAAATGACAGGAAGAACCAAAAAGTGATTTTGCTTCATGATTAGGCACCATCAAACAAGTGAAAGAAATGCCTGAGATGTTCAGTTGGAAAACGTTTTTTCCATTGAATGTGGCTTAATCATCAGACTTGACTATGTCCTGCTACTATTTATTTACATCAATGGAGCACACACTTGCTCAGCACTTCACTTTTTATGAAAATGTACGAAAATGGTTTGGTAGCTGGTTAGCCACAAAAGAGCAACAGTTTTTCTAGCATGACATTCATAAATTGCCAGAAAGATGGGAAATACTAATAGAATCAATGGACAACACTTCAAATAGAATATTTTAAACATTTTTGTACGGTAAACATGTATTTTTTATATGAAAATTCTGGTTCCATATTTACACAACTCATATACCTTGAAACTTTTATTCAAAACAGAGCAAAAGTAGCAAATTAGTTTCATTTAGTACAAAATAAAATAGCAATAAGGCTTTTTCTAATTAAATAATATAATTTAATAGTTGAAATGAGAAGAGTAACTTTTTTCCCTGAGGTAGCCAAAAACTACGGTAAAACCACAAACAGTATTTTATCAGTATCTTAAAAAAAAGTTTAGTATTTTTTATGAATTGAGGTTGGATTTATAGCAAGGTTCTAATTTTTACAGGAGGATGACAACATTGATGCGACTTAACAGAGACAGCAGGTCCAAAAAGTACCATGAGATGATGGTCCAAGTGGTAAAGACAACACCATACCTACTAACTGCTGAATATCTGGTTTCGGTGCTCCTTGGCTGGTCCGCACCACCTATTAGTCCTCTGCCTACTGAATGGTATATCTGTCCTCTTCTTAATAATTAAATATTCATTTTTCAACAATTACTTAAAAGTGAAATGTCATTTTTTTCAACTTATTTCATTTATAAAGCATTATATAACATAAAAACATTGACTGCAGAAGCACCAGGTAACTCATAGTTGGTATTCTTGCCCAGGATGCCAACTATAAGTTATTCGGTGGTTAGTTAAGATTTCATATTTTTGCAGCTAAGATGAAATTTATATAGCTTTCTGGTTATTAATACATATTAAAATGAGTTTTTGATAATGAAATATATTGGTTTTTAGGCCGGAATCTTTAAAAGTACTATGACAGAAGTATTAAACATGACAATTAATCATTTCTTAAAGAGTTACCAGAGGTTTTTAGTTAAAGATAATCTCAAGCAAGTAGGGTCTTTTCTTTACTTCTAAGAAATACAGTAGAGAGTGACTGTTGAGATTAAAGAACGCTAAGAGGGGCTGTGGATGTGGAACTTGAATATGATAAGACAGCATATCATTTATGGGATATCAGTATGGAAAGTAGTTAAGGTCATAAGAGACTTAATCCATAAGTTATTTTAAAGGATTATAAGTGTATTTAAAATGTAAATAGGAGGCAATCATTGTTTAATTGCCTCATGGTTATCAAATCAATTTATATAAGATAAATCAAAAAAGCAAAGTGTAATTATGATGTAATCAGTGATGTTTTCAAGTAGCTATGAAAAGTCCCTAGAACTTGAATTCACACGAAATTCCATCTTGCATACTTATTTTTAGGAGACATACTCTCTTCACAGTAGTCGCATAGACATAAAGGAAAAACCTAAAATAGTCTTTTTTAATGTAGTCAGGGTCATAAATGTTACTTTTTTTACAGGAAAATTGAGAGCCTGCTGCCCACGTGGGTGTCTGCAGCGATGGAGTATGGCCTTACGGAAACCCCTTTGGCCAGAGAGTTTCTAACAAAAGCCAGATATTTGGAGGAGTTAGATAACTTCATTCTTGCTTCTCAACTCGAACCAACTATTCATACACCATCATATCAATAAACCATAGGTAGTCCTATCCTCTACTTGCCATTAAATAATTTTACTTATATTCTTTTCTCTTTATTTTAAATTTTAAAAGAATTCTTCACAAACCAGCCAGCGTATGCTATAAAACATATTAGAATTTAAATATGTCATAAAATGTCTTCTACAGTTCCTCAAGGCAAATCATAAAATTAATTTAACAGAATTATTATTTCACAATTTTTTTTTTTTTTTTCTCTTTTGCCAGTCGTTGGTCATTTGGCCATCCGACATCTTTCTGCCCAGTATTTTGCAAATACAATATTATGGAATTTATTTCCATATAATTAAAATTAGTTTATAGGCTAATAAGACTAGTGAACAATTTTATAAATAGGTGAAAGAAATAAAAATTTAATAAAAGTTATTTGATTTAAAAAAAAACGATTGAAAAATAACCTTATCTATCAAAAGAGTCAATTTGCACTGTCATATCTATTTAAACATATTGGTTGATTGTCAGTGAAATTGACATTTTTAACTCATTAAACTTGGTGTAGAAATCAAGTATTTTCTACACCCGAAAGAAAGACTTTTCTTCAAGACTTACCAGATAACATATAAAGGAGTTTTTTGTATGTTGACATGTACAGATGAAAAAGACAGAACATATCTGCAATATATTTGCAAGCAGGCATGTAGTCCGCATTACAGATTCCTTTTTATCAAATTATTAACATCCATATAAAACCTTGGGAATGGCTTCATCTAATCATAACTTACAACTTCTTTAAATACAACAATTCTCAGAAATATTTTTGTAGACCACATGTTTTCTTGATAATGTGTACCATTTGACCACCTTTGTACCATCAAACTATTGCTATGTATTGTAAAGACCGCCGGTGGAATAATTATTTTAAATGTATAAATAAAAATAAGTGGCCACATCTGGCGGTACCTGACTGAGGGTAACCCATTAGGACAACCTTTTGTAAGTGGGAATAAAAACCCTTAAGGACCACCGACAAAGACCGACAACTAAGTGTTTAAAAAGGATCCCAAAAGACCTTTTCACACCTTCCACCAGAAATACCTAAGTCTGTACCTGCTGCTTTACCTTGGCCTGGGGGAGAGGGCGTGGTCATCCCTTAGGCTGAGAATATTCAGCCAATCAGGAAAAAGACTGGCAAAAGAGAGGGGGATGAAAAAAGGTGGGAAATCGAGAATTCGGACGAAGACACTTCTTTTTGGAACTCGGAGGAGAGAGGACTTCTTCTGGGAACTTGGAGCTGAGAGGAGGCTTCTTGGGACTTCAAGCGGGGGAGTCGAGGGAGGAAGAAAGAGACTGCCAAAAGAGAGGAGGAGACTGGAGGAGAGCTGGGACACAGGCTGAGACTGGATCAGAAGACAGCTGGAGAGAGCAGATGGACGGACTAGAAGCTGAAGGAGAGCAGAGACAGGGAATCCAGATATGACGGCTAGAAACACCTCGAAACACTATGAAGGACCAGCTAAGTGGTAACAAGCATTTAGTTATACTAATGTAAATTTGTGTTGGCAACCATCAATCATTAAGTAATAAAATCAATAGAACATAAGTAACTCTAATCAAGCATTCTCCTCCAATATGATTATTAACTATTCATTATGTATATAGGTTTAGTTATTATTTTGTATATAGATGTTTTTGGGTTTATTTAAATTTGTAAATATATTAGTTAGCAAACCAACGTAGTACTTTTACCATCTACCTTGCATGCCACCAATTAGTAATAGAAACAAATAGTAAATTTATAAACATGATACCTTTAGAAAGGAAATCCGATAAAAATTATATGGTTCAATCTAGGATACTACAGTAGGGGGTCTGTGGTATCTAACATTTCAATACAAATATAAGTATTAAATACATAATAATACAAATAAATGCGATTCCTGGAACCCCTTACTCGCCGTAGAAACGCGAGGCCAGGAACATAGCATTTAAAATGGCATCCCTTGTGGGGACGTATCATTAAATTTACTATTTGTATCTAAGATTAAATTAATAATTGATTTTTTAGAATTTCATTCCTATGATTAATAAAGGTGGTATTGTAATAAGTTGGTACTAAGAATCGTACAAGAGGAAAACATCTTTGATTTAATTTAATTTGGTTATTTGAATGTAATGAAGTCGGTTGGTTTGAAATAATTTTATATATATAAAATGATTGTTTAATGAAATGACTGTAAAACTTGATTGAGTGTTGTAACGGACAAAATTTAGTTAAATTCTCTCTTGTTCTGATTTGAACGATGCTGATTCTGCGGTTCAATAATTTGTGTCAAACCTCTTTTTAATATATAAAAATCTTCAATCTCCTATTTAATGGTCTTGTATTAAAAGTGGCTCATTTTCATTGTGGTTTATTATTAATGGGATATTTTTTAAAGGTATTGGGAATTATTTTTATGATAGCGTTTAACCCCTTCCTAAAAGGTTAAAATAGGTATTAAATTAAAAGGGATAATATACGCACATACTTTTAAAGATGGCTCTTAGGGTAGAAACGGAAATACTACCAAAGCCTAAACGATCTGAAGCAGTAGCTGATCAGAAAACACCCAGAAAACCAGAACTGAGATCAACTGAAGAAACAGTGATTCAAATCCCGAAGAAAACCCAGCCACAGGCCAATAAGAAGATAGAGGACAATTTTAGTTCAGGAGGAAATAACCTGTTTCTAATACTCCTTCAGAAATTAGAAGAAGGGCAAGAAGCTATAACAGAAAGTCTTAGGAATTCGGAAAGAAACCTAAAAGAATTTATAGACAGTAAAATAAATAAATTCACGACCGAGTTAACCAAAAAGACAGAGGCGAAAGAAGAGGTCAGCCTAGAACACCAACCAGAAGGTAATGAAAAAGTTAACAAGCTAGAAGAGAATTTGGGTGAAATCATCACCAAAAATAATGATCAGAAGACTCTCAATCCTACAAATCAAACAAGTGACATTGAAAATGTTCAAGGTCAAGAGAATGAATGTCTTGAATCTGAACAGGAACCTAATGAAGTTATTGAAGTGGATGAACCTATATCAGCCGTACCCTCCTTAGGCGAGAATAGAAAAATTGAAGATGAAGGAACTACCTCCGACGAACAAGAAAGCGAAACCTCTACATTAGATAATGAAAGTCTTGAATCTGAAAATCTCAGAGAAGATATAAAAGAAATCAGTGAAAAAGAGGAAAAAATTATAGAAGTCCAGGAGGAAACCTTGTATTAGGTTCCATAACCTTGTATTAGGTTCCATAAGGATCAGAGAATTCTTTTTACAGGCCGATAAGGAGACCCACGAGATCCTAGAAATTAAAGAAGAGTATATACGCCCCACAGCTTCAGTCGAACCTTCCATAACAGAAAAGACTTCCCCGAAAGTAGAAGATAAACCAGCTAAGATAGAAGGGTGGAACAAAAGACTATCGAAACATATAAGATCAGTACCGAGAATTAATAACTTAATTTATTATAGGTATACAGACACATATATAATCCCCATTTATATTTTAAATGATGAGGTATATAAAGGTTATATGGCTCTGAACCATGTTAGGGCAGGCCGGTTAAGATCTTATTTTAAGGCGCGGTAGTCTTTGTCCCATTCCAGAGGGCAAAAAGGGGTTTTTTAGCGTCCCTTCCGTTGACGAGCTAATGGGTCCTGGCAAAACCATCGTTAGGTTACCCATTCTGGAAAATTGTAAATAAATTGTATATTAGTTGTAAATATAATTTTTTAAATAGGGTGGTAGGATTTAATAACTAATTTAGACTGGCTGAATGGAAGGAATCTCAGGCTGAACCGACCAAAGTAAATTTATAATTAAATTCATCTTATGATCTTATGATAATAGTTTAAATTAAAGTAGAGTTAAAACCTTTTTAATAACAGATTTGTGTTACTAAACTTTTATTAGAAAAGAAAAAGGGAAGGACCGAAAATAAATCATTATTAAATAAAGGGATAAAACTTTTCATTTTAATTTAAATGTGCAGTGGCCAGATTGATGGGAGTAAAACCGAGTTATAATTATGTTACCGAATATTGCCGTAGTTCAAAGTTAGCGCAGACGAGCACCCCAAATTAACTTCTTAAGAAAAATTGGATCATTTTCTTTTTAATCCAGATAGGATTTAGTTTAAAGGAATAGGGAATAGTTACCCTCAACTAGGAGTAGACATAGGTCCTCCTCATCACCCGTAGGGTTGATAAAGTTTACATAAGGGAGAACCCTTTTGATGGAATAGCAGTAGTGCATCCATTCATCACTAAGTGTGATTGATAATAAATAATTAGGAGAAGATAAAGAAATCTTCTATAACTATACCTCCAGAGTACTGAGGTAGTATGTGTATGGATCCAGAAGTTAAAGATTTAAAAATTATAATGGTAAATGGGGCTGAAGTAATATACTTCATTATTATGATGTGCACATGACTACATTTGAGGCAAATTTAACGATTTATAACGGCCACGTGTAAGGAATGGATGGTCCATTCATAATTAAATCATAATTGAAAATCATAAGATAGGAATTGAATAGTTTTTTGAGTAAATAAAATATTAATAATCATTGAGAAAACGAAGTAGCCTGAGGTTCATTCACTATTTCAGCAAAATATATAAGCATCCCGATAGTGACATTAAAATGTTTTTCACGAACATTTGCCAGCCCATTGTTTAAAAACAAGTTTTGACTTCTCCTTTTGGAGAGCTAAAGGTATATATAAATTAAAATTGTGTGAATGATGAGAATGCTATGTGCTTCTACACCAAAGATATGACATTAAAGCTTAAAGGTAAAAGCTGGTACAAACCACTTAGAAACCTAAGGTAAAATTTTTTGTTTTTGTTATAACGGTTGCCACGCAAGGTAGTTATACTAAATGAATATATATGTTGTGTTTATAACATTACAGTAACATTACAGTCAGTGTATAAACAAACCTTCAATAAATGAACCAGAGGAATAAATGAATTCCTGTTTTGACTCATTTTGTTAAAGACTCTTTTTTGAGAGTATAAATAAAAATCATAGAAATATAAAGTGAATGTTAGATATTCAAGGCAATCACACTATAAAATGTTGTTTGAATGATATTTCAGTAAACAAAGAAGAAACATAGTTGAATGGAAGGTTCAACATTATTGTAATTAATATCATAATATATATTTATGTTTTGTTTTGTATTCCACTAAACAGAGAGATAAACTATAAAGAATTACGAGTAGTGGTATTGATATATTGCAGAATTGGTAAATTTGAGATATGTAAGTAAAATTGAATTACTGGTTGTGTAAAAGCATATATTTTCAATATTTCTAGTAGTTAATGTATAAGTCTGTGTATATTTGAGTTAACTCTCATCCCATATTGTTTATAAATAAATGTTTACTTTTCATTCTGAGATCAGATAGAGGAAGCCTATTGTAAAGGTATTGATGTATAATATTTAAAGAAAAAATCCAATAAACTTCAGTTTATTTTATTTTTTCTTTTCCCCAAGACTAGGAGAATGCTATGTATTGTAAAGACCGCCGGTGGAATAATTATTTTAAATGTATAAATAAAAATAAGTGGCCACATCTGGCGGTACCTGACTGAGGGTAACCCATTAGGACAACCTTTTGTAAGTGGTAATAAAAACCCTTAAGGACCACCGACAAAGACCGACAACTAAGTGTTTAAAAAGGATCCCAAAAGACCTTATCACACCTTCCACCAGAAATACCTAAGTCTGTACCTGCTGCTTTACCTTGGCCTGGGGGAGAGGGCGTGGTCATCCCTTAGGCTGAGAATATTCAGCCAATCAGGAAAAAGACTGCCAAAAGAGAGGGGGATGAAAAAAGGTGGGAGATAGAGAATTGGGACTGGAGGACTGCTTCTTGGGACTCGGAGAGGAGGAGACTTGCTCGGGGACTTCAAGCGGGGAAGTCGAGGGAGGAAGACGAAGACAGCCGGAGAGAGCAGATGGACGGACTAGACGCTGAAGGAGAGCAGAGACAGGGAATCCAGATATGACGGCTAGAAACACTATGAAGGACCAGCTAAGTGGTAACAAGCATTTAGTTATACTAATGTAAATTTGTGTTGGCAACCATCAATCATTAATTAATAAAATCAATAGAACATAAGTAACTCTAATCAAGCATTCTCCTCCAATATGATTCTTAACTATTCATTATGTATATAGGTTTAGTTATTATTTTGTATATAGATGTTTTTGGTTTTATTTAAATTTGTAAATATATTAGTTAGCAAACCAACGTAGTACTTTTACCATCTACCTTGCATGCCACCAATTAGTAATAGAAACAAATAGTAAATTTATAAACATGATACCTTTAGAAAGGAAATCCGATAAAAATTATATGGTTCAATCTAGGATACTACAGTAGGGGGTCTGTGGTATCTAACATTTCAATACAAATATAAGTATTAAATACATAATAATACAAATAAATGCGATTCCTGGAACCCCTTACTCGCCGTAGAAACGCGAGGCCAGGAACATAGCACTATCTTACAAACCAAGTGAAAAGCAAATTGGTAGTCATGAGTTTTAGTAACTTATTAAATTAATTATTTTAATGAGAAAATGCCCTAATTCTGAGAGTTTTTGTAGATAAAAAGTTACAGGTTACACTAAGAGGAAACCATGCAAATTTTTTTACTACAAAACGTTATTATCACGGATTAATAACGTTAAGTAGAATGGCACCTGACCACTACACCAAGTATCAACATTCAAGGCATCAACTTTTCTAAGAATCCATTAATATGTTTATGTAGACTTGCTAGTACATTCCTTCCTTGTGACAGATAGGATTCCTTATTGTTTTGTTTTTTTAATTTCATTGTTTTTATGATAGCGTTTTTAATTTATAAGTATTGGAAATTTATATCATCATATATGACCATGAACTTAACACCTATGATATGAAACGAATGAAAAGTTAAGAATATTTAAAATATAATAACAGAATACTAAGCTCAAATTGTTTCAAAACACACAGAATTTCATGCATAATCTGAGCCATCTAACTTATGAATAGGCTAAGCTGTTCACTCAAAAAATAATTACATGTCAGGTGACATGAACTCACCAAACAAATTTAATACTGTAATTTTTAACTATTTTCATTTCAAATTGTTTCAAAGTACTTGCAGGGTCTCACCGAATAATTTGAGTCATTAAACTAGAAAATTAATAGATCTGTTTTCTAAAAAGCTACACAAACAGATTGATTATACATATTTAGTACAATTATTTTAAGTATTTTATACATATCTCGTTAATTTCTGAGTTTGTAAGATCATGAGTTTAGAGATCCAAGTAACTACGATGGCATGATATATGGCAAGTGATTGCATTCATTATAAATACTAAAAAATGTCTGCCATATAAGGCTAGTATAAGTTCCTCACCATTTTCATTGGCTGAACAATATCTTTATTTCAAATTAATTTTTTGTATGAGAATAAAATCTCCAGAAGCCATTTTCGAAAATATAGTACTTCCTTAACATTCGCGGGTTGATATCTACCAATTTTGTTCATCAGCAAATAATAAAATGCGGAAGAATTCTATATTTACATATCATGTATTTGATAAATCATGATTAAAAAAAAAAAAAATTACATACTGAAGATGTAAATCTTTACTGTTAATGCAAAAAGTCGTATGTGAAAATTGAGTGTTTTATAAGAGAGCATAAAAACTGATTATTTCTTTATGAATTATTAGTATAATTTTATATTTTATTTTCCACTGCTATTTTCCATATTACCTATATCAGGTGCATACTACAAAATATCACCTTTAGCACCAATAGAATAAAAATGGAAAATAGTTCCATACCAACTGTTACACTAACAGTAACGAGACCAATATTTTCTCTCAGTTAGAACAAATATAGAAATATGATTGAAGTTCACACAACTTTCATGATTGAGCAGGAAATCGAGACCACGACGAGCAGGTTGAATTCATTGGAAACAAACAAAATCACAAATAAGACTTTTATTGACTAACTAAATAAAGTAAATTTTACTGAAAATTACATGAAATCTAAGTGAAGGCAGTAAACGTCATGCCAGAATGTTTGGAATCGATCAAACAATACAGTATAAATTAACTTTTTGAATAAAACCTAAAATGTTTTATGTAACTTCATAAAAATATTGTATTAACCAAACCCCATGTGATCAATGCCTACCACATTTCACAGCCATTATATTATTAATATTAATTTTAATTATCAAATGGAATTAAATAAAATCGATACTAGACAATTTCTAAACTATTCCTCAAGTTTGGGTCAAATTGAACTAGCCCTTTTCAAACTATAGGCGTGTCAAATAATACATGTTATAATCCGAAAACAAAAGAATTTTTTTGGAAACAGTGGACAAAATTCAATCAATATTTGAGCCAAATTCAACTAGTGGTTTTAGAGATGTAAATGTATCAAGGAAAATGTGTTTGCCCATATATATGAGAAAGCAGATGACAGAATTCAATGAAACTGATACAGAATCATTGTTTTAGCAAAACCCACCTTTCATTTAACTTTGAGGCCAAATCTATGAAAACAGATTTATGCATACACAAGCAGAAGTGCTGGACGTACTTCGCTAAAATTAATATGAGACCACCTACGCACCAATCTCTGAAAATCGGATGAATGGTGGTAGGTGATATGCCTGTCACATCGATTTGACTGCTGTCAGATAGACACCAAACCAAATTTGATCCTTGATGTCTGACACGTAAAATGCGAGTGGAAATTTTCGATTCTAAGCAGAAAATTTTTTTAAACCTCTCACACGAATGCAATGCTTCCCTACCTTCGTTAGTAAAAAAGGAAAAAAAACTGACCCAATTCTATGTCGATTCATGACCTGCGATTCCAGTATATTTTTCAACTGAGCTAATCCATTCTTTTTAAATTCTAAAATTCAATTTGTAATAACACTTATGTTCTATTCTAATCATAAGTGACTTTTAATTAATATAATAATAATGAAATGATGTGAAAATAATGAGAAAAAAAATGAATAGATAAAAACTGTATGTAACACTTTTTAATAATGTTCAAATCTACAAATCCTCATCTAGAGCTCTAACTTCACTCAAGAAATTAAAATTTATCTTATATTGTGATACAGAATCTAAATCAGTTTAAAAATTAAGTGTTTTTATTTTCCAAAACTTTATAAACTGTCATTGATTCATTGAATGGATTGCATATTTACAATAATTTTGACACAAACCTCCTTGTTTTAGAGAAAATATTGTTAGAACAAATAAGTTTTCAACATTAGAAAAAAAAAATTAAATCCAAATCAAAGTTATTTCTGATTATTCTTTTATAAATTTTACAAATAAACAAATTAACATCTCATTATTTAAAATGGTCTTATGTGTCAAGCAAATGTATCAAAGTTGATAACAACTTAATAGTGTTCTTCAATAATACATTTCATAAATGTATAGATGTTGGAAAGAAATTATATAATCTATAATTTAATTGGGTCCACAAAATAATAATAATAATAACAAATAAAATACATACTGGTATCAATATTCCAAGTGAGCAGATGGAAAATTACATTATTTACAACTTAAGTGTAAAATAAAATTAATTTCAGATGTTAAATATAAAAATGTATATAAAAAGGTATTGATTATCACTAGTCCTAAGTACAAATACTATTTTTTGGCAAAAGAAATCTTCATTGCATGTGTAGGTGTGATCTTGAACCCATTGAGGGCCATTTTTGCTTCAGCTGATTGATGCTCATTCTCAAACTCAACAAAAGCGATGTCATGCCTATTCGGAACCAACCGTACTTCCTTGAATCCAGGAAATCTAAAACACAATTTTATTTATGATTTACATCACATAATTATTTTGAAAACACAAGTTGTAGATTCAATATTATATAACTCTATATTATAAAGGTTTAATATAAGTTGAGAATATGAATAATGATTAGAACATTAGAGTGAAATCTGTAAATAAAAATAGTAAAAATCTGTTTGTAAATAAACTAGATAATAATGTATAAATATATGCTTACTGATTGAACAACATAGACAACATCATTTCATTGGTCTCATCGGGAAGATTGGTCAGGAAGAGAATCTGGTTAGGAGGCTGCTCAGGAACATTGGCAGAGCCTATTCCTAAAACAAATTAGTCAAGTATATAATATAGGTACACATTATACAGAAGTTATACCCTAAAATTATATACTTACAGAATTTATATAAAATAAATGTAAAATATATTAAATAATTTTGTTAAAAATATTTAAGGAAGCTGTCAACTGTTCTACATATGATGGGTGATAAATATTCAGGACGCAGTCATTATAAACATTTTTTTATTTGTGCTTCAATGTTTCAACTCAAACATGTGGGTCATCATCAGGATGGTTTGAGCACTGAAGGCTTTCAAGTACTCGAAGCCTGTACTTGAAAGCCTTCAATACTCGAACCAAGCCCTGATGATGAAAATTTATTTCATGTCATAAAAAAGTTTCCATTAATGAATTGCCTATTCAATATTTTTTTTTTCTGGCTCACATTCAGAATATAAAAAACTTAAAATTGATCCAAAATGTGATACCATTCATGTTTGCATTTATTTATTTTTTAATTACTAAAAATAAATAATGTATCTAAAAATAATTGTTAAGGTTCAGGTCATAAAAATTGTACAAAAAACTTGATCTGAAGGAAATCTGAACTACTATACAGAAAGTAATGAAAATCATAGAACAAAGGTAACTATAATTATATTGACGATATAACTTTACATTAAAATAAATTCATATTGATGAGTTGAATTAAACAAATTCAGATTTAACCTATTCAACAAGACAACCATATTGTTGATCCTTTAAACAAGACAGTGTAATCAACATAAACTACTTTTCTTAACATTGTAACAACTATTGTAGCAAAAAAAAAAGATATGCAGAGTTACTGACATAAGTATGACTGTACAATAATCTGAAATAATACAGGTTAAAGGTTATTTTCCAATGTTTTTTTCTGATACAATAATAGGCAAAAGAAATGAGCAGAGAAATAAACTTAACCAATTTATAACTGATAGGGTACTGAATAATAGTAATAACATAAGTATTAATCTATAAAAAGAAACAGGGGATGGTTAAAAACAAAGAAACGGAAAAAGCAATAACTAACTACGTAATGAGTAATAAATAAGAAGTAGAATAACTAACTGGAATAAAAAAAAAAAATTTTTTTTAATGTTTTGTTATTTCTGATTTTGGGCATTCATTTTTATATCAGTAATTAAAAATATCATTTTTACTCCTTCAATAGTTTCACCTTCGTATTCAAAACTGATCTTTTAAAATTCATTTCACAATTTAATGTAAAATTGTGATTTGAGCCAAAGGAATCAACAAATCAAATCGACTGTTTTATTTGATTAGTAAGATAAATAACTTAGATAATAGTTATTACTATAAAAAAAGAATAAAAAACTAAATTAACTAAAAGTCAAACCTGAATGAACTGGATGGAGTGGGTGACGAGCTGGCTGTGCAGCAGCTGTCCGTGCTTGCTCCTTTCCAGCCTTCTTCTTCGCTTTCTTATTTTCAATCCCAGTTTCTTCTGGTAGTTTCTTAACTTTCTTTGGTCTTTCAGTAAATGTTCCTTTCAGTTTAGCTATGACATCTGAGTCAGTCTTGCTATACTGGATTTTCTATATTAACAATAAAATTAAATGACAGTAACTAATATACTTAAACATAAAATATTGGCTAGTCTGGAAAATAATGCAAGATTTTGAGTTTTCCTCTATATAACAAACTGTTTACATTTACTAGATTATTCATTTGTATGAATGTCAACATTAATCCTCATACAAACGATTAATAATAATGTTGGTATAAATAAAATAATGTTTGTTTACCTCTGTAGCATTTCGCTGCTTAGAAATAATTCCGTCTTTACTAAGACGTCAATGTGTGATATTTGTATAATTTGGCCGGAATGAGGCTGATAGCCAGAAACATCAAATCAAGTCTGGAGTGAGAGCAGCATTAATGGGTGCACTGTTCAAATGTGGTTTAAAAAATTTTGGGAGGGAGACTTCAGCCTTGAAGGTAAAGGTGGAGGAAGGACTTCCTCTCTTGATGACGATATTCTGCGGGCTTTGGTGGAAGAAAATCCTAGAACAACTGTTCGAGAACTTGCATAGACACTTATCCTTAGCAAATCAACCATCCATTACCACCTCGAGGCATTTGGAAAGGTAAAAAAGCTTGAAAGTTGGGTTCCACACATATTAAATAACTACAAAAAAAACCAACTTCTTCGTTAGAACAAAAACGACCCTATTCTGTCCAGGATTGTTCCTTGTGATGAACAGTGGATACGTTACAATAACAGTAGACCTTCTGGACAGTGGCTCCACAAAGGAGAAGCAGCAGAACATTTTCCAAAGCCCCTAAATCATCAAAAAAAGGTGACGGTTCCTGTTTGGTGGGCTTCATTAGGTTTGGTACACTACAGCTTCTTAAATCCTGGAGAAACGATCAATGCCAAATCATATTGCTACCAAATTAATGCAATGCATCAGAAATTGGCAATAAAGAAGTCATCTTTGGTCAATCGGAAGGGGCCCATTCTGTTGCGTGATAATGCCCGGGCACACATCACACGTGAGGCGTCACAAAAACTGTTGGAGCTTGAATAAGAAACTCTGCTACATCCACCCTACTCTCCAGACATCTTGCCAACAGATTATCATTTTTTTAGACATCTAGACCACTACTTACATAACAAAAAATTTAATGGACAAAGAGAATTAGAAAATGCAGTTTTGAGTTTATCAATTCTAAAGATGGGAAATTCTACTCCGAGGGAATCAAATAGTCGCCAACATGTTGGCAGAAATGTATTGATATTAGAGGAGACTATTTTGATTAAACAAAACAGTTGTAAATCTTTCTATTTAAATTAAAATCATAGATGATTTTTTGGTCAACCCAATAGAATAACACCAATAAAAAGATATAAAAAATTTTTTGTAACCATAACAATATCCAGAACATCCAATATACTAAAAATCTTGTATATGTATGTCGGGGGTCATTAATACAACTAAATTTATGATGTCATTAATACAACTAAATTTATGACGTCTACCAATTTTCATAATTGAAAATCCTATATATTAAAGAACTTTTCGTATAATGTCAGACTAGCAACAGTGAACAAAAATAAAAGTTAATTAACAAAGATATGATGCTTAATTATCGACCTACAAACTATTATACAATCGTTTATCATTTTCAATTTTTTTTTTTCTATGGGCTTGCTGTTATGATTCCAAAAAAACATATTATGTTTTCCTCAATCTTCCTAAATAGCTGAGACGGCCATAGAAAACTATTAATCTGTTATCATTTAGAAACACAATGGTGTACTGTAATGTCAAGTTCTCAGGATCACCACAGTGTAGCTTGAGACCTTGGTGCCAAATCTAAAAAATAATCAATCAAGTTTTCTAAAAAATAAAAATAAAATAAACAAAACATGGTGTGTGAAAATTCTGATCGACCACCATTTTGAAACTAAATGATGGATGGTAATGTTGAGATCCGAGGTTTATTCAGGGGTGGACAACTTATATGCAAAATCGGAAAAAAAGAAGACAAAATAGGCACAGCATTCTCAGAGAAAAGTCACAAACATATCTGTGATCTTATTTTGGATAATAGGTATCTTAAAACGCAAAGACTAATATTTTGAGGGGGGGGGGGGTTAATTTGTTTTCTTCGCCAGTTACAGAAGTCGTTTATTCAAAATAATGCATCAACAATAATATTTATCAACAAATAAAACCTTAATATAAAAAAACAGTAAGTAACCAGGAAAAAGACAAACCTTTACATTGCCTCTCTAAGCTGCACATATGAATCAGTTTCTGTTTGTCTAAAGTTGTATACAAGAAGTTTCTTTCATTCATTTAACAAAAAAAATTAGCTATACCACTGTTTAAATTGAAGGAAGAAATTAAAGTCGAGAACTTATGAGGATTTTCTTAATTTTCGCAGGCTTTACTATGAATTTCGACAAATCCCAAATATTTCATAATCATACAAAACCCACCAGACATTTTTGAAATTCCTGACTGGTAGACACCAAGTTGATTGTTATTTAGGAATATCAGCAGAAGCAAGCTCATTACTCAAACCAAACTTTTATATAATTGTGGAATTACTGTGTGAAAATATGAATCTTATTGAATTATAACCAATCAGGAACTTCCTTAATATTAGTTTAATTTTTTTTACAACGCAAAGTGATTTGATATTTTGGAGATTTATACTTATCATGAGAGTTTTTTTTTACCCCCTGCTTTCCTTTGCATTGCCTAATATATTAAAATATTTATGCTAGAAATCAGGGAAAACTCTTCTTCCAATGTAAGAAAAAGTTGTAGTTATGGGGACAAATTCAGGAAATATCAACTAACTTTAAGTAATAAAAAAAATTAATTTGGAAGTTCTTGGTTGATCATGAATGAATAATATATAAACTCCCAAGAAAATTCAGACAGTGAAACTTAATATTATTCGGAAAATTAAACAGCCCTTTAAATAAATTTAGGTTCATGTTCATACAATTCTTTTAAAATGTCTGCAATAAATGGGCTGAAGAATACATTAAAGGTTATTTTCAATCTTTTTCAAGGAAATTAAAACTGAATTTGGGAAAGCTCCAACTAGTAATAAATATAAAATATGTTTAGTTTTGAATATATAAGATAGTCAACTATTGATAATTCAAAATTCAAAGAAATGAAAAACAAATTACTTTTGAAGGGATGGATTAATCCTTATTATTTGGAGATATTCAAAAACATCACACACCATATTATGCCATAGATGCTACTAGTTGATTTCCATGACAGAGGCAATATGATGAAGTATTTGAAGGAACTTTAGTAAACCCTGAAAGAATGCAATAACACTTTACTAATCAATCAAAGGAGGCTTTATTGACTTCAGTTCATTTCCCTGCCATGCAGCAGGTTTTGTGAATTAGTAATAACTGATTTTTTTTCCTTGGAAAATCAAGACCTCCTTAAGTTGGTTAGAGGCTCCTGCACTCATTTTAGAGGCTGCTACGCTTCTGGTAGATACGGCCTGTTGTAATCCAGTCCAATAGAACCTCCTACTTAGATAACTCATATGATTATTACTTAATGGTTCTGACCATGGATACGCCAATACTATGTAAAGAGCTAAATATTTTTCTTAAAATTTGTAATTAAACAAAGCTTTTTGAATTTGTGTTAGTGTCAAAAATTACATAGGTTAACAAAGGTATTATCAGTCAGAATCTTGTGGATGATGGTGATCAGATCTTTCTACTTTTTAAGTTCTTATAAGACCAAAATTTTCAGAACCTCTGCCTTTATCATTATAAGAGTTCACATAGAAGCCAATCTCTTCACAATCCGTTACCACATAGAAAGTATCTTTTCCCTCTTAATTTGATAAATTGCTGAGGGCATGAATATTAGAATGATATCTGGAACCTTCCTTCAATTTAGAGAAAGCAAATCCTGGGACTATTAGCTCTGAAGTCAACAACTAACAGCAAAAAGTGCCAATAAACTGAAAATCAACTACTAAATTAATATTAGGAAATTAATATACTAAAAATTAACAATACCATTGGTTTTTCATAGAAGGGGAAACCTTGCATTGACCTCAGAGCATTCGTAGCACTGGCAATTTCCTTGAAGATCACAAAAGCCTGGCCTCGCATCTTTAATGTCTTGATTGCAACAATATCCAGAATTTGACCAAACTGGGAAAATATAGCATAAAGTGATTTCTTTAACTCTGCAACATAAAATTAAAGAACTTTCAGTATTATTAAATAAAGAAACAACACAAAGCAAGTAAATGGACATAAGTGCTTGTTTACTTGGTCCAGATAAGGCAAAGTATCTTTATAAGATCCATATCACTAATTACACTGCCCTACAAAAAAATTTGTTTGTGTTTATCTTCGACGAAAACTGTTTCTCTAGACTAATTTTGGTTTGAGAAACTCAAATTTTCCGTCAGAATCCTTATATTATCTACCGTTCTGCACATAAGTATACTCAGTATCAAATACAAAAATTCAAGTTATTGGAAGTTACACGGTCATTTTTTAGTCTTTAAAAGTGCTTAATTACTTGTGAAATTCCTTTACAACATTAAATTAAAACTCCTCTCGACAAGAACAGTGCTGTTGTACAGTTTATTTAGAACGTTTCTTCTTTTTTTGACGATTGTACTGATGTTCTAGCAAATCCCTCACAATGTTCCAACAGTAGTCTGCGAGCATTGAAGTAATCCACCGACCTTGATATCTTTGTTCCATCGAAGATATATCTTAGTGAAATTGCTCATCACATTTGTCACTTACATATCCACAATTTTCCGGAAAGAAGTCCAAATGAGAGTGAAGAAAGTGAATCTTGAGTGAAATGTTAAAACCGAAATCTCTATACTTCTCAAGGAGGGTTTGGACTAAGACAGCATAATTGTCCTCTCTTTTGTTACCCAAGAAACCATAAACTATAAATGTTTACCACACTGCTCTTTCTTTACCCTGAAGAATATTAAAAAATTTCCCATCATTAAGCTCACGGATTTGTGGACCAACAAATACAACCTCCTTAACCTTAGCTTCTTCACTTAAGCAAAGAAATTTTCTCCCAAGTACTTGAATGCCTCTCCTGATTAGACCATTCCTTCGATAAAATTTTCTATGAGCCCTAACTTTATATATAATGGAAGCAAAATTATTTTTTCAGGGCCCACAAGAGAGTTGTAGAGAAAACTCTAAAGAGAGTTTTTTTGTCCAGGGGTCAGGACTTCTCTTTAAGGTCACTCTTTCCTGATGAAATGAGATGCTCTGTCCCGACTGTCCCATTCACATAATAAACAGTACTTAGTATATCCCTGTTGCATGCCTAGAATTGCCACGACTTCCTGTGGTCCTGATATTTGATGGATTTTAGAAGGGCTGCCATGTTTTGGTAAGTTTCCTTCGTGTGGACAGCATGGTTAATAGGAACAGAGAACTGATTGGTGGTGGAACTGCAATAGAACTGGTTTAGGGAATACCTTTGAAGAATCTATGAACAGCCTCCATTCAGAAGGGTTGTGATTGAGATTTAATGCTGTCATCAGACATGGGACATACCGTGGGAACAGCAAAACATATTGAATGACCTTTCTTGTTTAATCATTTTCTTAAGGTTACGTTACATGTGATGCAGCAGATGTGGGGGGTCACGGTTTATCTGTTAAAATACTTGTGGTATGCTGTCTCAATCATCTGGGTGATAGGGCGTTCTACTTTCCCACAAATGAAACAAAAGTTGACAGGAACATTCACACACTTCCTAGGCATTGTAACTTCACCAAAACTACTGTGTTATTAAGACAAAATTGTTAAAAGAATGCCTGAAGCAAAAAAAAAAATCACATCAAGAGTAACTTAAAATTTAGTTATTTATTCCTCCCTTCCTTGTCTTTCGGCTACACAGAATTTTGCAGGGGTGGCATATAATATTTTAACATTTTTTTTTTTTTTTCAATAACTGTTCTCTTTCCTTCATTATCTTTTCACCATATCAGTCTGGCGGCCTTAAATCAGCAGGTTCTCTTCTTCCCAGATTAAAGTGTGATGCCCCAGAGAAGCTTTCCAAGGGTAACTTGAAATGTAAACATTGCATACAACTGTCAGCAAAATGGTTCTATGATAAACAGCTAGTCATTTACTGCGATTCACAGACAGAAATCAATCCTACCAACCCAGGAGCGGGACATTTCTCCATATTATGCAAAAAGTAACTATATCTTTGAAACAAAATACCTACTGATGATTTTTATGAGGACATTCGAATTTCTCACACCAAAAAACATGGAATGGGACTGTTTTCAAAGAGAGCTACAATATCAATGTAGAACAGCGCTATTTATCTGATCCCTATTGCTTCGAATTGGGACTCAAGAGGCTAAATCATAGTTTTGTGTTGATTCTCCATTGACAAGGACCCTTTAAGGGTTGTTCAACTATCTTTTGAGTAATCTAAGGCTACATTAAAGTTAAAAAATTAAAATGATGAAAAAATATGTTTTATTTTAGTATCTTAGAGCAAAATACATTACTGAAAAGTAAAATTTATTAAATCAAAATTTTTAACACATTCATATAGTTAAATGTGAAAGGTTAATAATATTGCATGATATAACATAATTCTAGAGAATAACTAATGATTTGGAATTGAGCATTTTACTCTAAAAGAGGTAAAACAATCCTTTAAGGACCATTCAAACATCATTTTACATATTTTGTATTAAAATAAATTATAATTATCATCATAAATAAAAAAGCTCCTAAGATCAAAAATCTGAATCCGCTACTAGATCAACTTAATAATCAACAAATAAAATTAAGATGTATGTATAATAATGAAAAACAACAATTCATAATTAACAAATTTGTAAATAAAACAAATTATAAATAATTGGTAAATAAGGAATTTATGTGGTGGGGATACAAGGGTTTTTCAATTTTATAAAAACGGAATGAGTGGTTGGGACAGGAGATGTCATAACATTCAACTCTGTTCAGCATTCCAGGAACAAGTATAACCAAAGTGATTGTGAATCATGCCTAATCTGTGTGGAACTCTCGTAAACACCTCTGTAGGGATAAATTAATCCAAATGGGATCTTTTCATATGTGGTTAGAGCCTTACCAGACAATTCAGCCACTTCCATTTACTTTCAGGCACACTCGGCCCTTCTCAGACTTCCATATATGGTGTGATCATGGATCTTGAACCACCCATGAAAGGGAAGTAACATTTGTAAAATAGTACTTAAATGCTTTTTTGGGCTTCACATTAATGGCTTTGGCTCAATTATTTGTGCTGTGATTATAATAAAACTAAATATTTTAATAAGAAGCCAACCTGAGGCTATTAAACACACAGGAACTTGAACTAGGAGAATTAATTCAGATATGTTGTCCTAAATACATTCATATGATGATTCCCCAAACATATTTATTAGTATTTGTGGATAAGTAAACGCAAAAGTATGTGAATGAGTGTTAACAGCAGGAATTAGTAAGTAGAATGTGAAATTGGCAAATTACAAACAATATTACCTTCTTTCTTAATTTTTTCATTTAGATTATTAATGTAGATAGTATGGTTCGGTTTGATATCCATTTCGTCAGTCTTTCAAAAACTTAGATACCTGGAAGAGAAATAAAACTACAAATTAATGAAGAAATGTAGAAGGTTATAAAGTGCCGGCTAGCAAACATTTAAACACAAAGAAAAACAAAAATGGTCATAGAATGGAAACAATTAAAATTATCGTAACATTAAAAAAGAAGAGTTACTTACCCTAATGATAAAAACAGTTCAATACAGTGATCATGAAACCAAAAACATCAGAAAATGTTTGCACCACGCTCAAAACAACAAGGCACGATACAACAAGAATGGTTTCCAAAGAGGAAGAATGTAAAACTTTGTTCAATCAAATGACTTAGCCTTTGGGATTCTTTATTGGTGCTTATCATACATTCATCCCAACTGAATTTAAGCTTCATCATTCCTGCATACGTTATGCAAACTTATTTATTACTTTTCTATTCGATCTAATATTTTAAAATACCAAACAAAAAGTAAGCAAATATAATTAATACAGCGAAAATATGTCAATGTCAATAAAACGCGTTGTTATTTAAAATAATTAATTTAGATTGTTTTTAACTACATATTTATTGTAAATTTTATTTATTTATTACTTTCTTAGTAATGTGCAGTTAATTTATCCATGTTTTCAAGGACTTGTACTAATCTATTTGAAACTGCTTACTCATTGTCAACATAAGTCAATTGCTACCCTCAAACAGTTCCTGAGATTCCCTCATTCTATGCTCCTTAAAATCCGTCAGCTCCTAGTTTCCTCTCATTTTCCCTCACTTCGATTATGACTGCCTTGTATACGTTGGGCTGTTTGGTGGGTTTGAGATCAGATTGATGAGAGTAATGAATTGTTTCATTAGATTTATCCTTGGTTTTCCTAGGCGCTCCCACGTCTCCAGTTGCTATGCCGAGTTGAAGTGGCGCTATCCAATTTTCCAATGGCAATATTTCCTAGGTGTATTCCTTTTCCGAACCTTTACAACCCAAAAACTTCGTATCTTCTTTATTTTTTTACCCCTTGCTCCTCTGTTCATTCGTTCAACACGAAATCCCAACTCTCAAAACTGTTTATTCCCTCTTATAGAACTATTTTCTTTAAAAAATCATTCGTCATACATGCTATCCACAGAGGGCTAAAAAGGAAGATAAGAGTCGTCGGCAGGAGCAATACCAATACGAGGTACCTCAATATAATTATTATAACAGAAGAAAAACTTCTGCCAATTAAGGTCAGCTTTCTCGCCGTTTTCAGTTGCTAAAAAATATCTATATTAATAGGTCTAAAAATTTTCTTATGACAATAAAATCTCTGGAAGAAGCCGTTTTCGAAAATTTAGTAATCCCTCAACTCATACGGGCTTGATATCCACGAGTTTTGTTTATCAGCAAATACTAATATGCGAAAAAGTTCCGTATTTGCAGAATGCATATTTGATAATTCCTATGTTAAAAAAAAAATTCCAGTGCATACTGAATATGTATCTCGCTACATATACTGAATATGTATCTCGCTACTATAGTGCAAATGACGTATGTAAAAATTGAGTGTTTTACAAGAGAGCTTAAAAACTAATCATTTCTTTATGATTCATTGCTATAATTTTATATTTTATTGACGATCTGGTTGCAGTTCAATGGAAACAAACACAATCACAAATAAGACAAAAATAAATTCAAAGTAACAATTACTTAAAATTTACTGAAGATTACACGAAATATAAGTAACGGAAGTAAGTTTCATGCTAGTCTACCAATGGAATAGACCAAACAATACAGTATAAATTAGTTTTTTAAATAAGACCTAAAATTTTATAACCCCATAACAATATTGTCATAACCTAACTTCCACTCCATATGAACAGTGCCTTTCACATTTCACAGCCATTATATTGTTAACAATTATTTATATTAATTTTAATTATTAAATGGAATTCTATGAAATTGATACTAAGTAATTTTTATAATGTTCTCCAAATTTCCTCCAAGTTAGGGTTAAATCGAATGCGCCATTTTCCAACTATAGGCACATCACACACATTTTCTGATTTAAAAGCGGAAGTATTTTTTTTTTTTTTTTTTAGTATTAAATAGAATTTGATAAAATTGGTGCCTATTTCATTTTACCTTTACCAATCCCTAAATTCCCTCTAAATTTCATCCGAATCAAATTTGTAGTTTTAGAGATATAGACTATCAAGGAAAACACGTCTGCGCATATATAAGAGAAAGTAATGGACAGAATTCAATAAAATTGACCCTACATTATTTTTTCACAAATATCTACCTTTTATACAACTATAATCCAAATCGAACGAGCCGTTTCTGAAATATTGGCATATCTACAAAAATACGTTTGCTCGTGCCTAAGCGGAAGTGCTGGTTACAATTAATAAAGTCTAGACACCAACCCGCACAATTCCTGGAAATTTCTTGAAAATCGGATAAACAGTAGTAGGTGATATGCCCGTTACATCGATTTGACTACAGACAGACAGACACAGAATCAAATTTGATCCTTGATGTATGAAACGTAAAACGCGAGTGAAAATTTTTGATTCCGAGCCCAAACTTTTTTTTAACCTCTCGCACGAATACAATGCATCCCTTCCTTCGGTAGTAAGGAAGCAAAAAGTAGTACAAAATATAATGAATCCCTACGCTCCTAAATAGTATCCACTGAAGGTAACCGAAAGCGAAGGCCATTTTAGAAGCCTCTATGAGAACAAAAATCTCCGCCACGTGCGGATTACGATAATTACGCTGCTATGCCAAATCTGATGTCCATCGACGTCCGATCGGTAAAAAAATTAATTAAATCAACGTCGTTGGACTCATAGCCGCGGCCGGACAGAGGAGCCAAGTGCCAGCCAGAAACGCATGTGAGGACAAGAATCATCGACGCGACCATAAAGGGTGTCAAACGTAGAAAGAATGATTGAAAAGCGATGGTGTTTCTCGATGTCATACTGTAAAATATTTAGTATGCACGTTCACGGGAGAGCTATTGCTGAATGAAAAACGGTGAAAAAACTGAACGACAACTTAGATAAACTAGTGAGCTCTTGCCTTCTTAAACCGGAACGAAAGATGTATGTTGTCAATTAATATGTGTTCCCGGAACTTCTCCAGAGAAACTACTCTCTCCAGACCGAACCGTTTATAAAAATACGTCCTGCGTTGTAAGGGATTGATGTAAATATCCGCAGGAGTATCAAGGCCATCATAGGGCTCCCCGCTAATAAATTATCGACGATATTGTAGGCACCGAGAAGGTATCAAGGATCGGGACTGTTCCGCTGTCAATAGGAGGCCCTTTTGCACCATTGGTCCATTGCCCAACCACTGTCCAATAAACCAAATGCCCTGTTCCTGTCCACATTTGGTTATAATGACGAAATCGCCGAATCATGGAGGGACTGGGTGTTGATCAGGGCCATCGAAATGTGAGTGCTCTCTGACAGTCGCTGAGCAAAAAATTCTTTTGAAGAATGGGCCGGCTGCAGATGGCAAGGCGTTGGTGTTAGACATTTTAAATAGACCTCGAAAGCTAATAAATTTACATGACAAAAACAAATACTTTCGGGATCAGAATGGTCCAACACTCTAAAACTCAACATCAACTACAAACATTTGCGTGGAGTCCCAGGAGCCAATGGACAGTCAAAGGAAGTTGGGTCCCTCTGTCATAAATGTGGCAGAGAGTCTGAAACACCAGCCCATGTGCTGGGAAAATACTCCAACAACTTCCTCATACCACGCCGAGACCATACATTCGAGTTGATGAGGCTCCTTAGAGAAAGGAATTAACATGCTTTGACGAGGTCTATTGCATGGACAGTGAAGGATCTACAAGATTTATTATAGAATATTGTCGCATTGCCCAAGACAGGAAGAACAGCGATTATTTTGGATCCAACTGTCCTTTCTGAAAGCAATGACCTCGATAAGGCGGGTGAAGTGAAAGGAAAAAGAAGAAAATTTATCATAAACGTGTCCCTTTTCAAAAACAAAAATTCCATGAGATCTTCGGAGAGAGATAATTCACTGTGAGAGGCCACTGGTTTGGGTTCCAACGATTCCATAATGAACAAGGAGCTTCCTAGAAGATTTAGGTGCTCATGAGAGCTTGCGATTTTGGCCGAAAATATTATTCTAGACTCCCTGGAGATCATCCACTACCACTTATATTGTAATTAATAATTTGTAATTTACGATGATCATTATCATATATATATATATATATATATATATATATAGTGGGCGGGGTGGCCGAAGGGCTAACGTGTGTGCACAGCACCGCCGTTGCCTAGCAATACTGATCTATGAGACAATGGATTTAAAAATAGTCACGAGTTCGCGTCCCGGTGCCGGGGGTCTTTTGAATCCTCGCTCACACCCCCTGGCCCGGGGAAACCTGGTATAGCCTTAAAGAAGAGAAAACAAAAAAAAATATATATATATATACACTGATAGGCAAAAAATTCCACCCACTTCATTTTTTCATGTTTTCATCTAAAAATATTTCTGCTTTGCATTGGTCTATTGTTTTTAATGAATAAATAGGTCATCTTTTTGTTTGTTTTCAATTAGGAATGTTAATATAGAGGACAATAACCCTTAATCCTTAATTCAATGAAATGATTCTAGATTCCAATGTTTACTTTCTATGGAATCAAAATGTTTATTCAGTATCATTAGTTCAGTGCCGTTTCTTGCAGCACATTTCTTAGTCTCCGGCTTTTAATTTTTTCAATATTAAATTTAAAAATGCCTCTTAGTGCTGAGGATGTTGCGTGTGGTGTGGCACTTATTGATGATGGACGTTGCATTAGATGTGCACCTAATGCCATCGGAGTTCCATATGAAACTTTACGAGACGCCATCAGGCGTTTTCGGGAAACTGGTTCTTACAATAGAAGGCCCGGTTTTGGACAGGATAACAGAACCACGGGATGACCGGTTTTTGACTTTGAGAATTTTACGAAACTGGCACCTTACCGTTGTTCAAGCTCGAAGATGTTGGAGGTGTGCAAATTTCTGAACGTTCTTAAATTAATAAAAAATCAAGATAATTAGCAAAGAATTTTTTAATTAAGTTTTATTATTATCATTATATCATTTTTACAATTGAGGTCTTCTTAAACCACCTACTTATAGAATAAAGGAGGTTAAATTAAAAAAAAATAATAAATTTTGTAAACAAATTTTAATTATTTTTTTTACGATTTAATTATTGTATTAATATTTGTTCGTTAATAAAACCAATATAATGTACCAAAAATGTTATT